TGTTGAAGTTAGGAAATTTTCGGTGAGCTGGAACCAATTACCCAAAAACCCATTGAAACAATGGTTTCGGTTAACGAACGTTTCGGTTAACGAACGACCTTTTGGAACGGATTGAGTTCGTTAACCGAGGGGCCACTGTATTATTATTATTATATCATATACGGTATCACAGTTCTCATTGATCTACAAAAAATACCGGTAATAAAAACCTTTTTGATATTTCACACTTAATATAATACCCGGTAATCTACTTCAACCTCCTATTGTTTACAACGACGCATGACGCACCATCAGCTGTTGAGTATCAGCTAGATGGTACACGTGTTTTTCGAATCGTTTTCAGTTAAAAAACTGTTACATCACAAGTATATTTTACCTTAACTGTGTCTGAATGAATATATTCTCGGAAATAAATAGTAGTTTTGCTAAAACATGATGTATTTTAATGTAAAATAGGATAAAAACATGACGAAAACAAAAGATTTTACCTAACCTTCCGATGTTCAAGAGAAGTTACTCGTTTATTTTAATAGTTTTTGGTTAAAATACTGTTATATTACATTGGTATTCTATTCATACTGTGCTTGATATAATGCATTCACGGAAATGTAATATTTTTGCTGAAATGACGTATGTATTACAGTGGAAAGTGGGATAAAATCGTGACGAAAACAATGACTTTGAAATATAATGAAATATTAACCCCTAAATCGGTTAATTCGGACAATCGGCTAAGACGGACACCTTTCCCCCCCTATTAGTCCGAATTAACGAGGGTCGACTGTAATAAAAATATCCTAATATAAAGCATATTTTTACTCAGTATGCTTACTTTTATTTTCTTGTATTTTTCTCTAACACTCACATGTTATTAAGTCTACAAATAAGCTTCCACTGTATCATCATTCTCCAACAATGAACATACAACTTACTCCTCACTCATGTGAAGATAAGTAGACTCATCCTCACAAGCACAAAGTCATTCATCCAGTTGCCTGATTGTTCAATAGCTTTGCGTGCTGACATTTTTTCTCCAGTTCTTAATAGATTGCCATTGGTCCAGTTTTCGCATAATTTCACTCTTTCTTTACTTTTGCTTTCCACTTTACATTCTCTACAAGCACTGATTAACTCACTTCTATCACTTTGGTGTTTGTTTGAAGGTATCATGAAAACAAAGTCAAATCAATATTAAACAAAGCATACAGAGCACATTTAGCCTGATGCCTACACCAGCCTTATCATAGGAGTCTGCAATCAGTGTTTGCATCATGTAAACAAAGGGGGAATTTAAGATAATGCAATAACTCTTCAGGGGTCAAGTGTAGAATTTACATTTTTTGCAAAGAATTGATCCCAAATTATATAATGGGTGACAATGTATAAGTAGGGTAATATAATTATTATAGCTGTTGGCTTAGCATCTCATACTCTTCACTTTGTTTCAAATCTCATCCAGTTACTATTTAAGTACAGGTATAAAATTTTACTGTATTGTAAAGTACTGCATGTTTTTTCACAAATTCAGATAGTCTTATGATCACAGTGAACACCAAAAACTGTCATTAAGAACATGTTTTGTTGCATTTCAAAAAGTTTGAGGATTTTTTTCCTTAGGAATACATCTCAGCTTTTACACTGGGAGTCTGTGGAAAAGTGTGCATTGACATATGAAAATTTGGTCTGTGAGAGGTTTTTTACATTAAATAACCCTGTTCTAAATCGGGGTCAAAATGTATTTTGTTAATTACGGATTTTGCTGCACAGTATACAGGGAGTCTCCGACTGATGACAAGGATACAGTCCTGGACCCTAATTGTAAGTTGATTTGTTGGTTAGACAAAACAGTGTTAAGTCCATAAGTTAAGTTAGATTAAAGCACAACCCAGCCCATACAAAACAACAATATCCCACACATTACAAATAATGTAAATACTGTACGGTAAATAAAGTAATGTTAAATAATACAGAATAATGAAAATTGTGTATAAAGTGGGATTTTAATTAAATTTTTTTTTGGTGAATGTACTGGGATCTCGTTAGTAATTGCGGATGATCGTAACTTGGATGGTCATAATGCAAGACGGCCTGTATATTTCTAATAATTAAAGCTGTAAAACTGCTTTACTCAAAAACTTCTATGTTAAAAATTTAATTAAAAAACAAACACATACCTGAGTCTTGTTGCGGCAACCCTTGCATTCAAAGGTATTGTTGCGCAAATTAGCAATACACATGAGACCACATAGGTTGCACACATGGACAGAATATGGATCGCTGACTTCAAACAAACGCTCACGAAGGAACTGTGCTGCCCCATGAGCAATCTGGCAATCTCGTTCCATCTCACCAAAACGCAAGCCACCTTCCCTGTACACAAAGACAATTCTATTACTCACAGGTTAAAATTCTGTAAAAAAACAAAAAAAAAACAAAAATGATGTACAGTTCAAGATACAACTAGTAAGTCACCTCCAAACTCTCAAATTTTACCCACGAGTATAGACTGTAAGCAGACAAAACACTGAGAAAAAGTAGGAATAACCATTAGATCACATTTCATGGTCGGACTCATTTTTCCCCAAATTTACACTGGATCAACACTGATCTCAAGAAAAACCATTCTTGGAATTAAAAAATTATAAGCCCCCTATCTACCAACAAATTCTCAGACATGGTAATGAGACCTGTTTAAAGAATGTTAATTTGGGGGGGAGGGGATTAGCCCACCAGGGCACAGGTCACTGACCAACATCAGGGCCTGGGTTGCAAAAAAATATAATAATAATAATAATAATAATAATTACAATAATAATAGTAATAATAACAATAATAATAATGATAATAATAATAATAATAATAATAATAATAATAATAATAATAACAATAATAATAATGATAATAATAATAATAATAATAATAATAATAATAATAATAATAATAATAATAATAATAATAATAATAATAATAATAATAATAATAATAATAATAATAATAATAATAATAATAATAATAATAATAATAATAATAATAATAATAATAATAATAATAACAACAACAACAACAATAATAATAATAATAATAATTAAAAAAAAAAAAAAAAAAAAAAAAAAAAAAAAAAAAAAAAAAAAAAAAAAAAAAAAAAAAAAAAAAAAAAAAAAAAGATCAAGAGTGAGAAACAATATACAGTATACATATGTTGTGTTGTCATTAGTAAGAGAAACACTTGAGACCCTGCAATTGTGTGTCAGATGAGCAACCTGGGGCTGGTCAAAATTTTTGTGATGCCATATGGCAGGAGGGTCTACCATAAGACAACACTTTATGCTTCCAATATCTTCCCAGGTGGTATTACCTCCCTGTTTGATAGCTACCTACTACCTGATATGGTTATAATTTTTTTGCAGAATTCATAACCAATATGAGCCTGCACATGACATATGTTAGTGTGACTTGACAATTCCAACTCTACCCTCCTACACCTGCCCCTACTGAACCTATACACTTTCCTGTAATCTCCAATCATAGGGAGGCTGGTGTGTTATCCAATCTGGATGTGAGTAAGGTGCATGGACCAGACTGAATACCCCTTGCGTTGTGAGGGAGTGTGCTGAGGTTCTGGTTCCTGTACTCTTTTGCCTTTGCCTCAAAACCCAAACTTTTCCTCCTTCTTGGAAACATGCCTTGGTTCAGCCCATCCTGAAGAAGGGTGATCATTCTAATCTCTCTAACTATCGCCCCATTGCCTTAACTTCATCCCTTTCTAAGATTTTCGAAATCATCTTAAAGTCTTATTTTCTTCGTCACCTTGAATGCCTTTCGCTTTTGTCGGATCACCAGTATGGTTTCTGCCAAGTGAGATTTACTGGTGATCTGCTCTCTTACTGCACCCATCTCTGGTCATCCTCTCTTAGGGATTTGGAAAACATTTGTCATGGCCCTCAACATCTCCAGGGTATGGCACAAGTCTTTATTTTCTAAACTTCCTTCTTGTGGTTTCTCTCCTCCACTCTGTTCTATCATTTCTAGCTTCCTTGAGAACTGATCCATGGCAGTTGTTGTCGAGAGAGCGATCTCTCGTTTTTTCTTCACCAATATTGGTAATCTAAAGGGTTCTATTCTTTCACCTACTCTCATCTTTCTTTTTATCAATGATTTACTTCACACTACGACTAATTCTATCCATTCTTATGCTGATGATTAAAACATCTCTCACCAATCACATTTCAGGATGCAACCATTTTTCCAAATTCTAAAATAGATAAGCTAGGCCTCACCATTTCCTTTAATATGTCATGGAAGCCACACATCCACAACATAGCAAAAGCTGCCTCCCGAAAGCTGGGAATGTTGTACAGATGCCGTAGCTACTGCACTCCTGAGCAGTTGCTTCAGGTTTATAAGGGATTCATTCATTCTATCTTGGAGCACTGCTCTCGTATCTGGGGTGGCTCTTCTGTGTCCAACTGTTAGATAGGGTGGAATCAAAGTCATTTCATCTTATCAACTCTCCTCCTTTAGTTGATAATTTTTCTTCCCTTTCTCTTCGCTGCAATGCTGCTTCACTCTCTCTCTCTTTTACAGGTACTTTAACGGGCAATGTTCGGTGGATTTGGCATCCTGTGTACCGCCGGCAACGCTGTGGGCTTGAACACTCATCTTGCCTGCGGTGCCCATCGCTTCTATGTTGATGTCGGTCACACTATAATAACCCGTTATAGTACATCCTTTTTTCCTCACACAGCTAAACTGTGGAATGCTCTGACTACTTCTGTGTTTCCATCCTCTTACAATCTGTATCGCTTCAAAAAGCTGGTTTTGCGGCATCTTCGTGTTGTCTTCTCTAATTCTTATTTTTTTTCTTATCCCCCCTCCAGGCCCCACTGTGGGTCGGTGACCAATGCCATGATATAAAAGCATTCAATTATGTAAACAACCTATTTCAGATAAACAAGTTTGCCATAATACAAACACTTTACATCTAAGATTTCTTAAATAGTTCAATTTGAGTCAATTGAGCACTTTTATTGTACAGTAATTTCTCAATATATGAGAGTTCAGCATATGCGAATTCACTCAAATACGAGAACCCTATCCTACCAGGAGTTAAATTTATGCAAGCAAGATTCAACCTTATGTGAGTAAGTGTCGTCACCAAATCTCGTTTTTTGTCTGTTACTATCGGGTATTGAGCTACTTGTCTCTCTCTTCCCGCCACAATGTGCTCAGTCTTGCACTAGCCCATGTTCTATGTGGACTACCTCTCTATCGCTCCTAAGGATTCTTTAGTGATTTGGTGTTTTTTGCACCCCTTATCCATATTTCTCCAGTAATATGGCTTCCAAGCATCCTGCATTGTCTTCTCCTAGCCCCTGTCCACCCATGAAGAGGAAGAGAACAGCTGTAACACTACAATTAAAGTTAGAAATTTTGAATCATTGTGAGGCAGGGGAGGGAGTGTCAATGAAGAGGATGGCAACCTTCTTCTCAAATGCTGAAAAACTTGTGCAGGAAGCAATCGACATGAACATCAGTTTGGACAAAAGCCTGCAGTTTAAATGTGGATTAGAAGATATTCTTGTAGCCTACAAGGTTTATGCAGAAAAGCAACGAAAAGCAAAACAAACCTCAATGCTGCAATTCCTAAGGCCTTCCATCTCCACTCCCATTCCACCTGCCTCTCCTAAACCTTCCATCTCCACCCACGACCCTGCTGCCTACCCAGGATTGTCAACCTATAGCACACCCTCACCACTGATGTTGTCTGATGAGGCTGAGGAGGACAGCCCTCTTGATATCAGCCTACATGATGTCAGCCCACTTGATGTCACACTCCCTGATATGGAATCCAACCCTGATGACCCTGTAGATGTCACTCCAACACCATCACCCACTATGTAAAACCTCAACCACCACCTCCATCATCTTGTTTAACCAAGCTGATATATCTGCATTTATTGGTAAGTACACTGTACTTGAGGGGTATGGGGTTATATGGAGTAATAGTACCTCTCTCCCACTAGCAGTTGCTCTTAAACTAATAAGGTGGTTAGTGGAGTTTGGCTCACCCATATGACTCCGCTCATTCTCTACCTCCTCATGGTACCGCCTGGTAACAACTTCGACTAGTCGGCCAAACGAGATATGGGTAGCAGATGATATTCTGTGAACTACTTGAAGTCACTGGCAGCGGGGTGACTGGTGAAATTCCTGGCGGGGTACGACAGACTGTATTCCTGGCAGTGATTTCGGACTCTTATCTTCATGATAGGGGTCACCTGCCCAAGTTAGATGGGAGCTGAGCTACACGAGGAGGTGGCTTCTTCTCTGGAGTACCTAGCCGATGAATCCTCCTAGGATTCCGCCAACCATTATGATGATTGACAGTAATGATATGGCCCCCAGTCCCGGGCGAAGAGGGGTGCTAAGAATCTCCCGGTTTATCAAGTTTGGTACACGGAAGTGAATCTTGGTATGATTATGACAGTTTATCCAGAAGATACCGAACTTTCGAGAATAAGGCATTGAGAAGAATCCTGAACTTACGATGGCGTGATTGTATTAGAAACAAGACGATAAAAGAAGTCACAAATGTTCCCTATACAGTATTGATGAATGACTGATGAAGAATAGATGGAGGTGGCTGGGGCAGGCTCTGCCTGTGCGTCCGGATAGAGTATTGAGAGAGGCGGTCGAGTGGACGGAACGAGAAGAAGAGGGAGACCAACGCCTTCATGGATCCTAAGTATAAGAAGGGAGACGGAGGACGAGGTAAATACAACCATGGAAAGGGATCAAGATCAAAATGGCTGGCGCAAGTATGTGGATGCCCTTTGTGTTGCACGGCGTTGGAGGCGGTAACAGTTAACACTATACTGTACTTGCTTTATCTATTATTTTATAAATAAATATTGAATTGACTTATTTTAAATTTAAAATGTCCTGAAATTGTGTTGAAAATGGATATGAAACATTTCATTTTCGTTTATGGAACACATCTGAAATCTTCGCATTTAACTAAGTATTCAATATATGCGAATTCGGTTTAGGAGGGGTTTGAGGAACACATCCCTCGCATATATCAAGGACCTACTATAATAATTTTAACTTACCTTGCACGACCTTCCATAGGCTGCCTAACTAGGATCTGCACAGGCCCTCTAGCTCGGGAATGGATCTTATCATCCACCATATGCTTTAAACGTTGATAGTATGTTGGAGTTAAAAAAATCTGGGCGTTCATCTTACGTCCAGTGTGACCACAGTACATAATCTGTAAAACAAAAATGAGTACTGTAGTAGTATAGACTCCAATAATTATTATAGGAATTTGGATAACTAAGAAGGTAATGAAAACTAGAAAAAGAATTGTGACGTGAAGTCCTTAGCCAACAAGAAGGAGCGTCTGATGAAAAGTTGGAGAGCAATTATTATGTTGGGAAGGGAAGGGTAAATTATCTCCTGTAGGCTAAATTCTACCAAGCACAACTCCATGATTAAAAATATTTTATTATTTATTTAAACACATTACCATCACTTTTAATTAAAAAAGCAATTATTGTAAACATAAAAGCTGGATTAAAACTAATGATATCCCCAATAGCCGGAACAATTGGTGCAGATTTCTACTGAGGATGAGATTTCCAGGTAACGAGATGAGTCTCTCAAACCCACATCCCCAGAATATTTCTGGGTGCTGGGGAATGTTTTCTGAGTCTAAACTATGTATCTCATCTCGACTCTGAACTAAGCAACTCATCATTTCAATTCCCACAGACCGCAGGCATGAGCAAAAAATTTACAGCTAGCAAAAAAAGTATAAAACTTTTATTCACATCATCTGTTCTAATTGTGTTATAGAGATAAATGTGATAACCAAAATTATCCCGAATAAATTCTCTACAAGACTTTTCCCATAACAGATCCTTAAACAAAATATGATAAGAGTGAGAGAGCTGTGAATGAAGCCGTGTGTCACAGCATGAACAGTGGATTGATTGATCTCATTCCTTGTGGTAATTACATCTCTGGCAATGCAACAGCTTAGGTCATGTGCCGCCGAATTAAAGTTAAAGCTTAGAAAGCAAGATAAAAAACATAAATAATAAATAGCATAAAACTTTCATAAAAAAACATTTAAATGTTAATAAACAACTCAAAGCTTGTGTAGAAGGCTGGCTTCCTCCCATGCTACCCACTCCCTCTCCCAGTAAGGATAGTTCACTAGGCATTTGTTTTACCCACAATGCATCAGCTGATCCGCTCGCATCAACTGAGACCCACATGCTTAGTGTTTGTCCATTGTCTGTTGATTCTGTCAGCTTCAATCCTGTGTTTATTCTTGAACTTTGGTTATTTGTGCAGTATTTGGTTATAATCACCATGGGCAAAATGCAAAGCGAGACAAATTCAAAATATATAGGTTTCATTGACAAAATTAAAGAACTTATTAAAACAGTGGACTCATGCTTGACATCGCTTCAGTAAAGCCAACCTGAAAATGCCAGAGTTTGCTCCCGTCATTTCAAGGAAACCGACTATACACAAGAATATCACATCAAGAAAGGGCAGTTCAACAAATCTCCCCAAGCGAAGAGATCACTTTATGCCAGTTCTGTGCCAACTCTACACCTTCCAAAATGGCAAACTCAGTTAGGTATGTATACTTGGCTAATTCCTGTGTGTGTGTGTGTGTGTGTGTATGTTTGGGGGGTGTCGCGGTCACTTTTACCCCGCAATAGATCCTTCTCCCTCCGGCTGGGAGGAGGGGGCGGGGGAGATTAACCACACTCAAGGATTATGAAAGGTAGAGGGGTTTTATTTTTATGCTTATAAAATGTCACTGACTTGACTTAGGAGAATATAACTTGCATTGCTGGAATTCTCGTCAGCTAACTAATTTGAGTATAAACATCCTTTATTTTGCACCATACATAATAATTTTAGTAATTAACTTTGTACATTTGAGTGCAGGTTGTGATAATTTAAGTGATTGCAGTTTCAAAGCTTTGTGATATCACTAGTGTATAACGAGTCTCCAAATACCCTGGTTTATTCATTGATCAGTTGTCTAAGTGCAAAAGTAGCCCTATCAAGCTATCATGTATCAATTAATTTTAAAATAGAATTATAATGTAAAATGTTATAAGACAATGGTTAAGTGTCTTGGCATGTCACCTCACCACCTAACTCCTAAACAAACTCTTCATCAAGTTCTTCAAATCCTATAATGTGCTTGGCAAGCTCAAAACACAAACACACACGGGAATTAAGACAACAAGCATCCAGTGAGGGTCTTGTTGTGTGACTGCATGGAGGCGAATAAAAGGATCAGCTGTTGAGGAGCTTATCGCTTGGCAACACTGGTGCCTGTTACCACGCCTTCCCACTCCATCTCTCTAATCACCCACACCTTTCTGCTTTCTCACTCCATATTTTAAAATGATATGTAATGTAATGTTGAAAGGATACAACTTTGCTCATTTATACTTATACTTATCCCAGTCTCTCTAAAATACTTTAGGTTTCGTGTTTATTCAAGACATCTTCAGGTCATGAGACCCACTAATCCCCTACCCAAGAAAGGGTGACCTGACATTCCACTAATCCCCCAGCCTACCTCCACCTGACATTGAGTCAGGTCTGGTCCCTCCCCAAAATACATGAGCTTTCCTCTTTATTGAAGACACTTTCAGAATCTGCTCTCGATTTTCGACCTCAGAAATTTTTTTCCCAAAACCGGAATTTTTTATAAATTCCAGCTTTGGGAATGCCTTTCCGAGCAAATTTCAATTCCGGCTATCGGAGAGTTCCGGGTTTGAGGGATTCCAACTAACGGAGAAATTACTGTATACACCAAATGACACTTGTGACACTACTGTATATGAAATGTGCATTTCATTATAATTGAAAGTGATATTACTGGCATCTAAAGATATTTTAAACCAATAAAGTTTGTAATATTTGTTTCAAAATAATATTGTGAAGTGGAGGGACCTTCGACTCACAGTCATCTCCTCCCAACCGCCTGCTCACCGCCCTCTAACCATTATCCCTCCACTCTTGTCACTTCACTGCATCATTTAGACCGAGTTAAATTAAAATTGTCTCCTCTTAATTTGGTGATGCAATTAGAACAAAGAATCATATGAGGTTTGCTTATTAACTGTCATTGATACCCTTTGCTCCACTGGGAATATTTTATGTACAGTGTTACCACATCGCTCAGAGTGACAAAGTTCACTGTTAAAGGCAGAAGTGGAGGCAACTGTACACTGCTTGCTGGACAGACGGATGTACGGACAGGTACTCAAAGACAGACATGGCAAATAACATATGCCACAGCAAATATGGACTCCAATGGTATACAAAAGGTTAATCTTATCTCATACAGGTATAAATCAATTAATAATACTAAAGTTAATAACAAAAGTAACAAAACTATCATAAATGTTTTAGAGTTTTTTTCCATGTTGTGTAGGTTAGCCACAAGTACCTGGTGACAGTTCTCATGTTGCATGGTTTTTTGCAACTTCTCTCTGCAGATTCATCACTCTAATGTCATTTCTTACGACCTCTCCCCATGTCATTCTCGGTTTACCCCTGGCTATCCTCCCCACCACATTGAGACTCCTGCATCTACTGACCTGACTGGTCCTACTTGTATACATACTCTCCACATAATTACCCAAATAATCTCAGCCTACCTGTATGCAAAACTTTCCAATATTCTCAATACTCAGCCACCCTCTTAGCACTGAACAGGGTTTCCCATCTCTAAGTTTCACATTGCACATCCTTCTCACTATTTTCATATCAGCTTGATCAAGCCTGTGCATGTTATCCACTTTAACAGCCCATGTTTCACTGCCATACAGCATCACACTTCTTATACCAATTTCATACATTATTCATTTCACAAAAGGGGAAGGTCCTCTTGCTGTCAATAAAGGCATCAGTTCCCTAAACTTCCTGCAGTTACTTCTAACTCTTGCAGGTGAGCTAGCTTCAACACTGATTATGTCACCCAGGTAACAGAACTCATCAATACAGTCCAGGGATATAATTCCAATGTTGAATTTCTTCAGCCTTACTCAAGCCACATGATTACCTACATGTACAGGACACTCAAGGTCAACAACATTCTGCAGTCTGCCATCTACTCTATTGCACCTCTTGTGTACCCACCTTCCACACTCAATGCACATTACTGAGTTGCTGCCAACATGTTCTTACAGATAGCTTTTGGCCGTCTTCAACTTTCCACCATAGGTCCCATCACCCATGCAAGGATGCAATACTGGTAGAATAACTTGATTCTTAAATTATTTTCATCCAAAGGCATAATGAACAAGGGAGGAAATGGAAAGCGCTCCTTAAGAAAGTTATATACTGTATAGTAAACGGTTAAAATATAATAAGTTACAACTACCAAACTAATAGTAATTTCTCCATTCAATCAAGCAAGAAAGATTGTTAATAACAGAAACTGGTGTATACAATTACCTCATTGCCTCTCAAATGATACCCATACTCCTGTAGTAAGTTGGATATCTTCTGTACATTGACAGCATCATTAAAGGGTGTAGCATCACCAATCTCACCCTTATTGGCACCAAGCTTCCCTTGAAGCGCTTCAATCAAGTGACCAATTGTCATTCGGGATGGAATAGCGTGTGGATTAATGATGATGTCAGGCGTGATGCCTTCTACTGTGAAGGGCATATCCTGAAACAAAAAAATATACCACTAGTCAAAAAGACAAAAAAACATGTAAATTGTGTCTCACTGGCACACTAGGAATGTCTAATTAGGATGGAGCAGAGCATGCTCTTAGGGAAGCCAGTGAAAAAGGAACAGGAAACAAATGTGGTAGTATTTGCAAAATAAGTGAAACTTTAATGTATATATGAAGGATCTGGTAATAGGTACAGTAGCCTGAAATAATTCAGCAGGGGCTTGCCTTCAAGACTGCATCTGGCAGGGATATAATTATATAGTATTTTTATTTGTAAAATATGCACATAATTTGCAAGTTTATTAATATCTCACCTCCACTCTGTATTGGATACCACAAGTACCCTTCTGTCCATGACGAGAGGCAAACTTGTCACCAATCTGGGGGATGCGAACCGACCTCACACGAATCTTAGTGAAACGATCACCATCTACATTTACTGTCAACATGACCTGTAAAGAATTTCAAGCATGTAGTAAAAATACTGCAGGTGATGTAATTACCAGTTTAATAATTCATAAAAAAATTAGGTGGCACATAAAATAATGAAAGCAGCAAGAGAGGAGGGACTTTAAATATCTCAGATCAACACTCTAATCAAAAAAATAAATCACAAAAGAAATTAAATCAAGAATACCAGCAGGAAATTGTTGCTATTACAGCCTCCAATCCTTGATAAAAAACTGAAGGGTCTCGAGAACAACTAAACTGAGGACCAACTGTAGAGAGGCCAGAATTGCCCACTAACAAAAAATCTTAAGCAAAACCTTGCATTAGAGCACTCAGTGCAATAGAGGATGTGGCTCAATCATTTAAGTAGAGAAGAACTCTACAGAGTTGACACACCAGTCTCTAATAAATATTTCATAAAGCTCAAAAAACTGAGATGAGTGGAGCATTGTAATGGTTATTGCTGGCACCAATGTGAAGATAGGAGGGATTGCAGTGAGGAAAATGGTAGCATGGTTCGTGTACCAATAAATATATGGACTTGGGGTTTTTCTTAGTACAAGTTACTTATCAATTAACTGATAAAACACTTAAATATTCATCATGGAGAGCATTCACAAAATCAATACTACAGTAGAAGTCCAAAAATCCGGACTACTTGGGGATTGGGTCGGTCCGGATTTTCGGATTTTCCGGATTCTCAGGCAGTACTTTTAAAATTCAAATTGAAGGAGGAATAAAGAAGAGATGAACAGGTACATTTTGATAGTTTATTCATTAGCAAATATAGCATGCTTCATTTATCAAAACGAGCAGTTTTAATGAAAAAGCTGTGAATTCTAAAATTTTATTCTTTGCCTTATTTATATCATAAATTGTAGACCTTCCAATGTCGTATGTTTCCATTAGAACAGTATTGCTCACACCACGTTCTAGTTTATTAATTATTTCAAGTTTGTCACTCAATTTCAACGTGTTCTTCTTTCTCTTCACACAACGAAGTTTATCTACTTTAGGAGCCATTATTATGGGCTTGTATAGTACAGTACAGTACTCTGCAAATGGAAAGAGTAGGACTCAAAATATTGTTATATTACAATGGTATTCTATTCATACTGTGCTTGATATAATGCATTCACGGAAATATAATATTTTTGCTGAAATGACGTACGTATTACAGTGGAAAGTGGGATAAAATCATGACGAAAACAATGACTTTCGCTTTCTTTTGTTCAAAAGATGTTACCGTAATCGCTTTTCGAATGGTTTAGTTAAAAAACTGTTGTATTACAAAAATATTCTCCTAATTGACTTGAATAAATACTTGAATGGAAATATACAATATTTTTGTTGAAACTACCCGCGTTTCAGTGTAAATTGTCATAATAATAAATGGTAAACAATTTGCCTTCGGCACTCGGTGTTTCAGGCACGGCGAGCCTCAGTTTATAGGACATAGAGCGTTTTTACTGAAGTTTTAGTTGTTCCATTACCCTCAAAAATGTGGGTCGAACTATAAACGAGGAATATCATAAATTAACGATTTCTTGGTCAAAAAATCAGGGTCGACCTATAAACGAGGGGGGTTATAGACGAGTATATACGGTATGTTGTCACAGTTTGATTGCTCGTTTTAAAGTGGCAACCACGTGGTCGCTTGTTGTCGCTGTGCTGCTGTGGCGCTCACGCATGCGCATATACACACAAAAGCCTGCTAAAAAAAAAAAAAAAAAAAATTGGTTTTCGAAAAGTCCGGATTCTCGGGTGGTCCGGATTTCTGGCATCCGGATTTTTGGACTTTTACTGTATATTGTTTCTAGTGAACAGACTATACTCTGGCTATGACTGACAATTTACCCCCTAACCATCACTCTACACAAATGGATCAGATTTCCTTGTACCCTGTGGGATACCCAGCAAGATGGGACATTAGGGCCCTGCCTACCCAGCTCAAGGCTGCAACTGACTCTGGGAGGAAGATAGTCTACCTCCCTTTTGGGCTTGAGACTCCGGACAGAGTGTGACCCCAACTTAGGATCAATGAGACTGGACTGTATGACTGAGGGTGACTGGGTGACTGCTTGCTGGAGGCAGTATTTATCTGGGTTTTCTGGGTAAGAAGGACACTTAATGGCTTTGGGTTTTGGGGCGAGATGTTATCTACTTTACCTTGTGGTGGCGTGTCCTGGTTACTGTAGGTGTATGCCTACTATGTCCACTAATTACTGCAATATGTGTTGTTTTTCTGGCTTGGATAGCTTTGGTCTGACAAGTCATTATAGCATGTTGCAAGAATGGAGGAAGCAAAAACAACTGAGAAGAGTGATGAATGTAAAAAATTTTCACCTCTGGGTGCCGGGTTCGAACCAAGGCCACCACAATAGGGGTTGATAATTAAATTGTTTGGGATTATGGTGTTACAACTTATTTGTAAATGAATAATATTATTAAAATTAAATTTGTTTACAATAATTTTTATTAATTATCTAGCAGAATAACTGAGATAATCACTGAAAGGCTGAGTCACAAGAAATTATCAGAACTCATTTTAGAAAAGAGCAACAAATCTAATTACGTTTGAGTTGTTTAACACCTAACCCCTAGACCCGTATTAACTCAACACAACTACTAACTGTAAGACAACAATCACATTTCCACTGCTAGCCTCAGCACTATAATTCATAATTCAACATCAAATGTTCTGAATGTTTTAATTTTACATTCAGATTTTAAGGATACAAATATACTGAAAACAGTCTGCATTTAAGGGGCAGTTTTGTTCCCCTTGCAATATCTTTCCCATTATGGTGCAAGCTGAAGCCAGACTCTCTACACTTGCCTTAACAATAGTTGTAGTATTCTGCTATGGTGTGCACCTTGTAAATGATGTACACAATAAAAACAAAATAGGGGATGAGAGAGAGGAGACTTACTTGATCTACAATACCAGTTTCTGAGCCTCTCAAGAACACACTGGCATCCCTTTTGCTGAACCGTCTCGTCTGGCCTTCTAATTCATCTTCACTTTCTGGCAGGGTGATGGTCTTCCCAATGATCACATCATCGCCAGATACACGCATGCCAGGTGAAATGATGCCATCATCATCTAATTTGTCATATATAGCATGTCGCATACCTTGGCAAGTATCCCTCGCAGGCTTCTCAAACATTTGCTGAAAATTTTATACAATAAGCACAAAGATTAATTATAAGAAAAAACAAATTTACTGTTATCAAAAGGTAGATACTGTGAAGAAATTTCACAATAAATTTTGCTTATTGTACCCAACAAGATTACTCAAACTTTACTGGTACTTATTAACCACTGGAGTACAGACATGCAAATAAGTCACATGTGTGGTTAGGGGAATCTTACAGAGCCAAAACTATTATGTGGAAAATGCCTATAATTATACTTTTACTTGAGCAGGAATACAAGGTAACCAAAGGTGACATAAAACAGTGAACTGTGAAGTAGAAAGTACATCAAGTGGAACAGTTATTGGCAAATTACTGTACCTGGGTTACCTTTAAGCCAGCTGAATTAAGAAAAGTTTGCTATCTCCGATCAAGTAAATGTGTAAAAGAAAAAAATATACATGAATAAGATCTAATCTAATAAATGTACAAGGTCATAAAGTACCATGAAACTCAGATATCATTACTGTACTTTCACACATAACTTATTTATCTTCCTATAATAGTTCAGGGTTCAGATATGACTTTCAGACTGGAACCATTCTGAATTCAGAAAATCATTAGCCTTAGATTCATGCAAGCAATGACATAGCAAGACAACATGATGCTCAGGTTGAAACTTCAAGGTGCTGCACCCTCAAAACCAACGACAGATTGCGAGAACTATGGGTTGTTAGGTGAAACTTTGCAAGTAAAAAGATGTTTCATCTTTGTTGTCAATAATTAAACTGGAAGTAAATATTTTACTTAGTCGCTGATATGATATAATTATTATTGTTAGAAAAGATAACATCACCAAGAACAACTATACCAATAAACAGCAGTACACCAATTATCTGATTTATATAGGAAAGGGGTCAAATACAGTACACCGAAAAGTTGAGTTTTTAGGACCATAAAATTGGTGGTCAACCTATAATTGAGGAACATTTTTCAAGGGTTGAAATCCATTAATATTTAGGGAAGGAACTTAATGCATATAAATACAGAAAATTAAAATTTATAAGTTATACTGAACTGCAGCATGTTTTCACAAGGGTAATTGATGTAGTCAAATAGTAATACAGTACAGTCGGCCCTTAACATTCGCGGGGGTTAGGTAACAGAGATACCTGTGAATGTTAAAAATCCGTGTACTATTGCTGCCCCCCCCCCCCAAAAAATCCCTGGCCCCCCATGTCCTTATTTACCGTATATACCTGTGTTTAGTTCGAGTTTTTAAGACCAAATTATTTGGCAAAAATTGGGGGTCGACCTCTAAACGGGTAATAGTTTCGTTAGGTTGAAAAATATTTACCAGTAACTACCAGTAAACAATGGAAACGATGCACCAACACACCACCAGCTGTGAGTGTCGGTATAGTTGCCAGGGCAGATCTCTTGCGAGCCCAAAGTAGCCAAATCCATGGTATGGTAGCACAGGACGATGTAAAACAAAGTATTCGTTTATTAAAGTTAATTTATAGATACTGGACATAAATTTTTGTTCATTACATTTGAAACATCAATCTTTGTTAATTAAATTTGAAACAAGAGACAACTACGATACTGGATTTTCATTAAAATATTACATCACAAGTATATTTTACCTTAACTGTGACTGAATGAATATATTCTCGGAAATAAATATGGAAATGTAATATTTTTGCTGGAATGACGTACATATTATAGTGGGAAGTGGGATAAAATCATGAGGAAAGACTTTCGCTTTCTTTCGTTGTTCAAAATATTTTACCGTAATCGCTTTTCGAATGGTTTTCAGTTAAAAAACTGTTGTACTCGTACTGTATTACAATAATATTCTATCCTATCATTAGCCTTATAATCCCACAACTGAAAACCATTCGAAAAGCGATTACGGTAACATCTTTTGAACGAAAGAAAGCGAAAGTCATTGCTTTCGTCACTTTCCACTGTAATACGTACATCATTTCAGCAAAAATATTACATTTCCATGTTCTCAGAAATAAATGGTAGTTTTGTTGAAACGTAATGTACAGTATTTAACATTAAAATGCAAAAATAGCTATAAAAACAATTAATACACCCGTAATGTACTGGCTGGCATCTCCACTCGTCCCTGCTCCCGCCAGTCACCTCCTCCCCTCCTCCCCGCTCTATCCCTCCGCCTCCTCCACATCGTCACTACTGTTGTATTACAATAATATTCTATCCTAATTGACTTGAATAAATACTACGATACCATATTTCTGAATATTTTCATTAAAATCCATCCAAATCATTTTCCTTGCCATCGTCTGCAGCACCAAACAGCTTCTCCCAGTCCTCTCCTTGAACAGGGCTAGAGGGTACGTGTTTTTGAATCGTTTTCAATTCAAAAAATGTTACATCACACGTATATTTTACCTAAACTGCGCCTGAATGAATATATTCTTGGAAATAAATAGTAATTTTGCTGAAACGTGATGTATTTCAATGTAAAATAGGATAAAATATATGACGAAAACAAAAGACATCACCTAACCTTCCAATGTTCAAGAGAGGTTACTCGTTTTTTTAATAGTTTTCGGTTAAAATACTATTATATTACAATGAAATTATATTCATACTGTGCTTGATATACTACATTCACAGAAATGAAATATTTTTGCTGAAATGACGTAAGTATTACAGTGGAATGTGGGACAAAATCATGACGAAAACAATGACTTTCGCTTTCTTTCGTTCAAAAGATGTTACCGTAATCGCTTTTCGAATGGTTTTCAGTTAAAAAACTGTTGCATCACAAGTGAATTAGGATAGAATATTATTGTAATACAACAGTTTTTTAACTGAAAACCATTCGAAAAGCGATTACGGTAACATCTTTTGAGCGAAAGAAAGCGAGTCATTGCTTTCGTCACTTTCCACTGTAATACGTACGTCATTTCAGCAAAATATTACATTTCCATATTCTCAGAAATAAATAGTACTTTTGCTGAAACGTGATGTATTTCAATGTAAATTACGATAAAATACATGACGAAAACAAGAGACTTACCTAACCTTCCGATGTTCAAGAGATGTTACTCGTTTTTTTAGGAGTTTTCGGTTAAAATACTCTGGCGGGGCAATCCGCGTATTTGCGAATCCGTGAATGCTAAACCCGCGTATGTGAAGGGCCGACTGTATCTCCATTAGCCGGAACTCAACAATAGCCGGAAATGAAATTTGCTCGGAATTTTTCCGGAAAAATTCGAATACCAGATTTGGTAACAAAGTCTGAGGTTAAAAATCAGGTGCATTTTCTGAAAATTCCAAGAAAAATCTCGCCCAAAAATTATTTCTGAGTCTGAAAAAAAGAATTCTGGGCAGGTGCGTGGGTGTCTCAGCTGTTTGGATCGCTTAGTTCATATTCTGCTGCCATTGTAGAAGGTTGTTCCCTTACTAGCTGCTATTTTTGTGTACAATTTGTGTTGTGCAGTGCTGTACTTTACCGTACCAGAACAAAATCAGCCCAAAACACAGTGTTAAAGCAGTGTTAAGAACATGAAAAGTGATTACAGTTACATATACTATACTGTACATTCAGTAAGTGGGAAACATTGGATCACCTTAGCTTTTGTCTTTATTCAAGACTTCTTCAGGTCATGAGATCCACTAATCCCCCACCCCTAAAATGGGTGACCTGATATTGCATCAGGTCAGGTCAGTAACATGACCCACTAATCTCTCACCCAACCTCTATTGCAAGTATTAAGACGTGATTACAGTTAAGCATTACAGTCAGCCGAGTGAACAGTGTTTGCTCGTAAGTAAAGTATATACAGTATATTAGTACAGTAGTATTCATTATTTTGTTTACAGTATGAACAATATTGTACGTGCACAGATGGCGTGATCGTATTAGAAACGAGACGATAAAAGAAGTAACAAATGTTCCCTATATTGATGAATGGCTGATGAAGAATAGATGGAGGTGGCTGGGGCACGCTCTGCCTGTGCGTCCGGATAGAGTATTGAGAGAGGCAGTCGAGTGGATGGAACGAGAAGAAGAGGGAGACCAACGCCTTCATGGATCCTAACTATAAGAAGGGAGACGGAGGACGAGGTAAATACAACCATGGAAAGGGATCAAGATCAAAATGGCTGGCGCGAGTATGTGGAGGCCCTTTGTGTCGCTCGGCGTTGGTAACAGGTAACAGTGGTGCTTGCGTAAATAAATACAGCTCTTACAAGTTGCATCATTTAGACTTGTGGAAATTTTCCTGTGAAGCGTAGAAAATACCACTTGTCTTTACTGTAACACACAGCTCCATTCATGTCTGTATCATACAGATCTTTTGTTCTTTACAATATACGTACCATATTTTACATAATATAAGATGCACTTTTTTGTCTGAAAAATGGCAAAAAAAAATCAGCCTGAGTCCGATATGTGAAGTTGAGGTCTCCTGTAAGCTAATGAATCCCCCAGTTGCTGTAACCAGTAGGCTAAATTCTACCTAACCCAACCCCTGTATTAAAATATGTTATTGCTTACTAAACCATTTCTGATCTCTTACAATACCATACCTGCAACATTTATTTTTAAATCTACAAATACCCGATACAAAAGAAGATTTACATACAAATTTCTTTTCACTTTTGCTTGGTTGGTAACATTGTAACCAGGTTAGACTTATCACAAAAACCGCCAGTCTACCGGTGTTATGCTTGTTTTTCATCTCATATTTTCGGGCAAACACATAAAGGGAATATACATTTCTTTGCACACAAATTAGCGGTCACACTGGGGTAGTGGGAGGAGGTTGGACGTGTGTGTGTGTGTGTGTGTGTGTGTGTGTGTGTGTGTAGAGCCTACAGCAGGAATCGGCGGAGGTGGTGTCTCGCGTTGCTGTGGTGAACCAAGAATATGTGCAAATGGCAACTGTGTTAAACTTTCATTGGCTTACTGGTACTGTATATATGATTTTAATAAAACTACAGTATAATGGGAGGAAATCCACAAAGTTTCCTAAATACTCCCTGCTAAAATGGGGTGCTTCTTATATGGCTGTGGTCTTATATGCCGTAAAATACGGGATTTATTTAACCAACTTTTAGATAAAGTATCCAGGATTATTTGGGTAAAAAATAGTGTGTTTAACTGAATTAGAACTGATTTTATTGACTCCGGTCTCATCAATATTTCTTATGTTTTTTTTTGTATAAATGAATGGAATTCCCATCATATCATGTCAAAATATTTTGTTTAAGGATATCATATAGGAAATGTCTCATACAGAATTTATTCAGGATAATTATGTTATCAAATTCATCTCTCGAACACAAATAGCAGTTTATAAGGAAGGCTATGAGGGGTAGGGAGGGAGGCAAAGGGGGCAGGGTCCATTGGAGGGTAAATGTGACCCCCCCCCATAAAGGGTTGCCTCTCACTGACTGTTTGTCAGCAACTACTGCCTCATTCATGATACAATATTGTTTAGTTTCATAAATTAGTAAATATACATTACTTTAATAATCTGTGCTTATTAATACCTGTACTCTTCATATGCAGTACAGTACATACTATGTATATACCTCATGGGTAAAAAATAATGTCATTCAAGACATCTTCAGGTCATAAGACCCACTAATACCCCACCCAACACTGGGTGACCTGACACAGCATCAGGTCAGGTTAGTAGCATGACCCAATAATTTCCCATCCAACCTTCATGACAAGTGTAAAGATGTTATTACAGTTATGTATTACAGTCAGCTGAGTGAAGTGCCTGCCTACTCTAGCTATAGAGACAGGATCTGTTGGTGAGTACAATATACACAGTACAGTATGTCCTTCAAATTCGCGGGGGTTAGGTTCTCAAAATGGACGTGAATCGCCAAATCCGCAAATAACATTTGTTGGCCGGTGGGGGGTTTACATTTTTACTTCTGTACACCCATATGTGTTTGCTCTTAAGACTATTTTTACTCTATCTCACACACACACACACACACACACACACACACACACACACACACACACACACACACACACACACACACACACACACACACACACACACACACACACACACACACACACACACACACACACACACACACACACACACACACACACACACACACACACACACACACACACACACACACACACACACACACACACACACACACACACACACACACACACACACACACACACACACACACACACACACACACACACACACACCACACACACACCACACACACACACACACACACACACACACACACACACACACACACACACACACACACACACACACACACACACACACACACACACACACACACACACACACACACACACACACACACACACACACACACACACACACACACACACACACACACACACACACACACACACACACACACACACACACACACACACACACACACACACACACACACACACACACACACACACACACACACACACACACACACACACACACACACACACACACACACACACACACACACACACACACACACACACACACACACACACACACACACACACACACACACACACACACACACACACACACACACACACACACACACACACACACACACACACACACACACACACACACACACACACACACACACACACACACACACACACACACACACACACACACACACACACACACACACACACACACACACACACACACACACACACACACACACACACACACACACACACACACACACACACACACACACACACACACACACACACACACACACACACACACACACACACACACACACACACACACACACACACACACACACACACACACACACACACACACACACACACACACACACACACACACACACACACACACACACACACACACACACACACACACACACACACACACACACACACACACACACACACACACACACACACACACACACACACACACACACACACACACACACACACACACACACACACACACACACACACACACACACACACACACACACACACACACACACACACACACACACACACACACACACACACACACACACACACACACACACACACACACACACACACACACACACACACACACACACACACACACACACACACACACACACACACACACACACACACACACACACACACACACACACACACACACACACACACACACACACACACACACACACACACACACACACACACACACACACACACACACACACACACACACACACACACACACACACACACACACACACACACACTCTCTCTCTCTCTCCCTGCTTACCTACCAGCCCCCCTTCCCACTGACTTAGTAGAAGAATTTGACGTAGCAAAACGCCTGGACAAACTAAAATTAAAACGCTCTACCACCCCCATTGACTTACCAATGAAACTCTTCAAGGAGTTCTCCCCGGAGCTTGCTAAACCCCTCTGCTCCATCATCAATGCTTCTCTCAGTCAAGCCAGATGCCCAGCTGACTGGAAGACCTCTTATGTATCACCAGTGCCCAAGTCAACCAGCCCACAATCCTTAAATCAGCTACGACCTATTGCAATCACCCCAATACCCAGCCTAATCTGTGAAAGTTTTGTGTTTGACTGGGCTTATGCTGATATTGCAGGAGTCGTAGACCCTCAGCAATTTGGCAACATGAAAACTTCCTCCACCACTCACTGTCTTGTCAGCTTTCTCGATTACATATACCGCCATCTCGAGAAACGAAAAACGTCTGTAGCTGTCGCCTTCATTGATTTCACTAAAGCGTTCGACCTAGTCGACCACAATATAATCATAAACAAAGCTATTGACCTCGGGCTTCGGAGAAGTCTCATACCATGGCTTACAGACTTCCTCAGTGACCGACGCCAAGCTGTACGCTTCCGAGGGGCTGTCTCCACCTTTCAGTCACTCACCTGTGGCGTCCCCCAAGGCACCAAGATGGGACCACTCTGCTTCCTTATGCTCATCAATGATGCCCTAAGAGAAACCCCTGCTCGCTGGAAATATGTCGACGACTCCACCATTGGGATCAGCGTCAACAATTCTGCTCCCAACTATACCGCCCTCCAGGATTTATTGAACAGTCTCCAAAACTGGGCCACCAACAACCATGTCACCATCAACCATACCAAGACCATGGTTATGCACATCAACCTCTCCTCCGACATTGTCCCACCTCCTTCCATTACCCTAGGTCCGAACACACTCCAGGTTGTAGATTCCACGAAGCTCCTCGGCGTCACCATAGACAACAAACTAAATTGGAAACCACACGTCAGTGAAGTTGTCAAATCCTCCAGTTTCCGTCTCCACCTGCTCCGCCGACTCAAGTCCCTCGGAGTTCCTGCACACGAGCTCCTCAGTGTATACACAACATTCATACTTCCCAAGCTCACCTATGCCTCCCCCACCTGGTCTTCCTCCCTAAATGCCACACAACGTAAACACCTAGAAAAAGTGCAAAAGAGGGCATGCAAGATTATTCTCTCCCCTTCCTACTCCACATATCAAGAAGCGCTCAACACACTGACCCTTTCGACTCTCACTGACCATCACCACGACCTCATCTACAAATTTGGTAAGAAGCTTCTACACCATCCCCGACACCGGCTCCTACTACCACCTGACATCCCCTGTCCGAGAATTGCTGTTCGACACCACAACCGCATCCAGCCCATACGTGCACGAACTGATCGCTATAAGAACAGCCCAGTCCCAACCATTGTAAAAATTATCAATAACATGTAATAAATCAGTGTATTCACTCCCGGTAAACACTGCTCCTTACACTGTCACTATGTTGAAATGAACTGTAGTTTGAGCTGATCCCCATCTAAGTTATTATATGTCTTATTTGTGTCACTTATGTTACTTGTATATTATTTGTAATTCGTAACCCATTCCCCAAATATGTAACTGTAAATTTTCAGCCTTCTGGCTGCCAAGCTCTTTCAATAAACCGTTAATTATTATTATTATTATTATTATTATTACACACAAATAAATAATAATGGGAAAATCCTCATAGAAATACTGTAATCAGAAACATAATGTATTAAAAATGTTCAGTCCACCCTGAAATTCACTCCGTGCTTTGTTATTAATAACGTCGACTCCCCAGCACACATGCACCGCTTCCTCCTGCTCTCCCAGCTCTTAGCTAGTTTGCAAGAAAATATTTATTCCTTCTATGTGTTTGCCTTAATGATAATTATTCATTTTACCTTTTCCACAGTATGCATGTGTAATTGTATGTGCATGTAACTGAGTAACAAAAAAAAAATTTCTGTACTTCTACCCAAAATTATGAGTTGAAAAATAACCATAACACCTCACAGTTCAATAAGATTAGCCTACTAAGAGCATGCCTCGGGTAGCTATTGCTCCAACATAAATAACCCATGGAAATGCATGAATTTAAACCCTTAAAAATATCATGTGTACAACACAGTAAAAAAAATACTGCATGAATTATGTTTGAAACAATATGACACCATGGGTGAGGGATAATGGAATATGCATACCAACCTTCCCAGCACATCAGGTGATATACGATTCATTACAGAAGTAAGCAGATCTCCCTGCACGATACTTTTTTTTTTACTGTGTGTACATAGGTCGACTCCCTACTTTTTGCATAAAAATTTTATATTAAAAACTCGAACTATACTCGAGTATAAACTACAGTATTTCTTCTATTTGGCTTACTGCATTCATAATTCACATGTATGCATGGATAGGATTTCCAGGTTCACTTAATACAACTTAAAGCTCACTTATGTAATACATACTTCTTCTTGCATTCCCGAGCGTCTTGTTTCTGCATCTTTGTAAGAGCGGTAAAAGCAAGACCTAAAGAACCCACGCTCCACTGTCGACAAGTTCATAATGACAGAGTCCTCTTGGTTATAACCAGTATAACAAGCAATGCCAACAATAGAGTTGATACCTGTAAAGAAAAAATTTGTCAGTAAAATAGGAATACATCAAGGATGTCTAATGCTGCTCTGTATAGTGGTTCAATATTTTCAGGGAATGACACGTATGAGAGCAGAAGCACTGTACATGTTTGGTATAGTAATTGGAATATGGAATGCTTAAGGTGAACCTGTTGCTGTGTTTAGATGACACTGATTTAGTGGATGATTTAGATGGAAACTTTTAAGTGTCAGAACATAAGATTGGATGAGTGTGTACAGCCAGTCCTCATTATAAGAGAAGGATAAATTCTGCAGAAGTTGTGTGTACAATTAAAATTCATCTAGTAAAAGCAATTTTTCCCATAAACATAAGTATTTTAAGTTGAGGATGTTTTCTTGGGGTTCATTTTCAGACACCTTATGCAACCAAAACCATACCATGGATTTGGCTACTTTGGGCTTGCTATGATGATGCAAGAGATCTGCCCTGGCAACTGTACCCGACACTAACAGCTGGTGGTGAGTTGGTGCATCGTTTCCATTGTTTACTGGTAGTTACTGGTAGATATTTTTCAACCTAACGAAACTATTACCCGTTCAGAGGTTGACCCCCAATTTTTGGCCAAATAATTTGGTCTTAAAAACTCGAACTACATACAGGTATATACGGTAAATAAGGACATATGGGGGCCCAGGGTTTTTTTTTTGGGGGCAGCAAAAATACGCGGATTTTTAACATCCACAGGTATCTCTGTTACGTAACCCCCGCGTATGTTAAGGGCCGACTGTATATCAATACTTTCTGAACCTGAAAAAGGCAACTAAACTTCTTTTTAGAAAAGGAAAATCACCCGACTACCCGCTTCAATCTACAGTACATAAAATATAATAGTTATCCCTACTTGAATCAACTTCATAGAAAATTTTAGAAAGTAAACTTTAATGCAATACTAATGTAGGCCACACATACAAAACTTCAAGGCAAAGAACCAATCAAGACTTAATGAATTGGCTTATAGCGACGACTGATCCTATGGTAGCCAGCTACAGGAAATTAAAACTTAAAAATGCACATGTACCACTGAGGGAGCCTGAAGATGAATAAAGTCAACCTGCATATTGTATATAATACTTTATGGTTTTAATGTGAGTGTATTATTTGTTGTTTGAAAGTAAGTGAGCATAAGTTATGAATCTTAATGATATATAATGAGTGAATGCCCGAGGTGTGTGTGTGATTACAAAACGTATTAATGTATATCACTATTTCTAATTATTAATAAGCTAGTTGCAACAAAATTCATACATATATCACATTTAAGTAATAAACTAAATGCTGTCAACAAAGTGTCTTTTATATACTGTACCTTATTTTTATATTGTATTTGTGACAATGAATATACAGTACACAAAGATGAACGAATCTGTAATCGTATTTAAATGTCTGTAGAATTTTGTCCAGCATTTCTTGGTTTTGGACCACTGTGCTCCCCTCTGCCAGCTGCTCCCAGAAAAACACTCATCTTCCACCTACATTACACTCCTACACTTATTTGTTCTTATTTTTATCTTTATACTGTATTACTGTACAGTTTTCTCTTTATGCTTAAGACAAATTCTGTGGTCACTTACACTTAACAATAAATAACAATCATCTGGTGAAAACAGTTGTTGACAATCAGACTTACAGAATGTCTGATTTTCAACCCAGAGAGTTTTGTTTCATACTGTATATTTTTTTTTAATGTTGATGTAATATTGTTTTAATAAGCTTGTTATACACTTAAAGACCTTAGTTGTTGAAGTGCAGTAATAACATAACAACAACTGATATTCTTTAAACATTTCAGATAAGCAGAGTTATCTCTACCCCCCCCCCCATATACAGCCACTTCTCATCTTACGACGGGGTTAGGGACCCAAATCCAGGTCGTAAATCGAAAATGCGAAAATAATACATAGAAAATCTAAAATGGGTGTCTCTTTTTCTTCTCAGCACCACAAAACTCTCACTTTTAAGCTTGCCAGCCATTTTAAAGGGAATTACAAACAAAAATTTTGACAGTACACAGCGCAATCACTAATGCCGGGACTCGATAATACGTAATTTGAAAAATTTTTGGTGCGACTGGGGCGGTTGTATATCCGGGTGGTCGTAAGTCGAGGAGTGGCTGTATTCACTTTTTTTGGACTTGGGTCTGCCCCAATTAGTCCAACTTATTGAGGTTCTACTATACAGTTGGGTCTTCATTTACGCGGTCAATTGAACCCGCGGAGTACCACGTAAAACGAGAAACACGTAAATGAAATAACAGAACATATGGGATTAATTGAAATAGAGACTGGGCCGACACCCAAACTCCACTTTTTCCGACACAATACCTACGTTGTAGTAAAAATAACATCTTAATTTTATGATGGCATGCACACACAATTAATATTTAAGAGAAACACAGTCACCGGTTAATGTCCATTCAAATAATGGACTCAACTCCCCCCCCCTCTTCCCACGCTCGCTGGCTCCTCCTTCTCTGAGAAATGTTTGGGTGAAAACAGAAGGCTTACATTTTTAGTAATAAATAATACCCCAGACAAAAGTTAGGATAATATAATTGACATTGCTGGATTCCTAGCAAGACCAGGAATATTTTGAATATAAGCGTCATATATTTTGCACAAAAGATACAATTTTGGCTCTTTCTAATCAAAATTCTTACATTAGATCTAAAATTTGTATGTCTAATGCAAATTCCATGATGTTAATATTTAAAATAATCACAATCTTATAAGAATTCCAGCAATGTAAATTATATTCTGGCCTGGTAATTTGTATGAATTTTATGAGCTAAAACAAATATCTTCAGGAAATAAACAAATTATACTTCACCCAGACACTATCTGTCAATCAAAATACCCCACCTACACTCCTCCCCTCTTCCCACGCTCGCTGGGTCCCTCCCTACCCCCCACCTTCCCTCCCTACCAGAGAAATGTTTGGGTTAAAACAGTATATTTACATTTTTAGTAATAAATAATACCTCAGACTAAAGTTAGGATAATATAATTGACATTGCTGGATTCCTTGCAAGACCAGGAATATTTGAATATAAACGTCATATATTTTGCACATTAGATCTAAAATTTGTATGTCTAATGTAAATTCCACAATCTTATAAGAATTCCAGCAAGTAAATTATACTCTGGCCGGGTAATTTGTATGAATGTTATGAGCTAAAACAAATATCTTCAGTAAATAAACAAATTATACTTCACCCGCGTAAATGACCAAATTTACCGAGTAATTAAAGCATTTCATTCTGGCAAGGCACCGCGTAAATGACCAAACGCGTAAACAGAAACCGAGTAAATCCAGACTCAAATGTACTGAAAAAGCTGAATTAACCGAGTTACGAATATTTTGACATTACAGGTACAGTGATCCCACGGTTAACGAACGCCTCGGTTAACAAAATTTCGGTTGACGAATTACCTTCCATAAGATTCGTCACTTCGGTTAATGAATTCCTCACGAATTTTTCCCAATATGTTTTCGCCTGCTTTTGCCTGCTCACCAGCTGTAGTATTAGTCTGCCAATACAGTAATCGGTTTTAGGGTTTAAATTCGTTACCATTTGAGTAAATATTCAATAATTTTCCAAGTCTTATATTAAAGTTTTTAGCCATTTTAACAATAATTTAACATAATTGAAATACAGGGAACTAGTTTTTAGCGCGCCAAACAGCCACTTGACTCACCCAAAATGGCGTCAGTGTATATCCCTGCTCAGTGGAGGAAGCATCTTGCTTGAGACTCTCTTGAACATAAACTATTTTTACATTGTTACAGTACAATTATTGGTCATTCTGAAGTTTATTTTACATATTGACAATATATAATGCAGTGCAGTGTTGATTTAAAGAAAATAATCTTGAATTACACCAAGTGAACTAAAATTTTATGGGTGAAATGGCGGCATGAAGCATGGGGTGACTCCTCTTCCACCCCAATGCCTTCTCTTCTCCCTTCTCCTCCACCCCCATTCTAATTCCCATCATCATCAACCAGGTGCCTTCTACATGCACACCTCAAAGTAAGTGTACTTTACTGCATTTATTTTTAGTTGGTATGTAATTTTCGGTGAGCTGGAACCAATTACCCAAAATCCCATTGAAACAATGGTTTCGGTTAACGAACGACCTTTGTTCGTTAACCGAGGGACCACTGCGCGCGCGCACACGCACGCGCACACACACACACACACACACACTGTATTGTACATACCTGCAGGCAATTCTCGGAAACGTAGGTACTCCATAGAACGTGTAGTGACAAGTGGTTTTTGAGGGTAGAACAATACGTGTGCAAGGGTGTCCATCCTAACATGGAAATTAGTGATGTACACACCCATAGCTTGCTTACCCATAGCACTCTGTAGAAGAAAAGTAACCAGATTTGGAAAAAGGGAAGATTGATCCTAAATCCCATTCTATGACCAAGTCTGAACAGGATGTCATGTATAGTCTGCCAAAAGCTTAAGAGATAAAACCCAGGAAACCACGAAAAGGGTAACAAATCATGATGCCATTTAAGGTAATTACGCACTGCTTGTCACCCAAGATTGGCAACAAAGACAGCCTCATTACGATTTGGCCATAAAATGGTCGAATGCCTGTCTAAGAATCTCGTGTAACTGATGCCCACTAGATTAAGGAAAGAGCCAGAGAAGCTCCAAATACTACCCTGACTCACAATTCACTAGAGGAGTTAACACAACTGATAAAAGGATAAGTCTATTAGGATACTACCTTTTACGAACTCCCTACCATGGATATAACTTGGACCACAGAAAGAATATTCCATCTGCATTGTCACTGATGGGTTGAGTCCAAACCATACAGTTTATTATGCAAGTTATTAAAAATTATGTATAAACACCGATTAAAAAATATATGAGGTCCTAAATTATAACTGGTTTTAACTATCCCTACAAATGCTTATAAGACAGTGATGAGCCACAATGACTCTCATTTCTCTCTCTACTCTCTGACTTGGAGCTGAAGTTGGCAACTGAATAGGTTTAAGACAAAGCTGAATATGGAGGGAAAACTTAAATCCCATGAGGCTAAGATGGAGCTTTCAATGTAAAGTCCCCTGGGATTGATATAGTAGTCATACCTCTTATAGAAAGAACTCAGGACAGGATGTGCTCCATGGAAACAGAGCACTGTCTGAAACAGTGCTGTAAGAGGTCATTATAACATTAAAAATAGAAGAAAAATGTAACCTTTGTATAAATGAGCAACATCAAGCTGAATGGATGAGCCAGGTAAGGTCACTGGGATGACAGGTTTTCACATCAGGTAAAATTTCTTGGCCAATGTCTGCTATAAGGTCTTGTTGTGCTTTGTTATCCCCTGAAGTCAACTGTTCTACCACGTATGTATAATATCGTGTTCTTCTGTAGCTTCTGCCAGTATTCTCAACTGCCAGATTGGCAGTTTTCACACCAAACTGGGTTGGTTTTAAGTCTGGTTGGCAGGCAAATTTTGGCCAAGGTGGGTTAGCATTTTATTGGCTGCTTTCTACTCAAGTTCGTATCTTTGGAGCTGGTTATTGAGTAAAGTATGATATCTAATATAAGCATAACCAGTGACAGAAATATGGTATTTTTATAAAGCTTTGCACCTTAACTTTCCCACAACGGTCAGTTACTGATCTGACAGTTACCGGAGGTTGACTTTGACTGTAACTCACATGGTTAGAGGCTGTGAGATATAACTTCAGAGCTAAGAATCTGATGAGAGAGGTTGCACCTTGGAAAGTCATAACAGTGGTGGTGGCAATGTAATGTTCAAACATGCTTGGGTTTAATAATTATTAATCAAAATACCAGACAACCTACCTGATAAGTGTTACGAGGAGACTGATTGTGATCAGGGAAGGGGATAATGGAGGCACATACTCCGAGGACCATGGCAGGGTGGATTTCACAGTGAGTGTATGTGTTACAGTAGGTCTTTTCCTCTTCCACGCCTAAATCTTCGAGTGACATGGCAATCATGATTGTTTCTTCTTCAGAGCAGTCGATGTATTCCACCACACCACTTGCTACTAGATCCTGCCAGCTACATAACAAGTGAAATTATTTTTTAATAGAATATATTAATAAAAATATTCTTTGTTCTGTAAGCAGTGAAGTATTATTTTTCTAAACCTTTAAATTATTTTTACACCAATTGTTCCAGCTAACAGGGATATCACTGAGTTGGAGAGTTCCGGCTAACGGAGATACAGTATTACTATACTACCCATTCTCTGTACAATATGTGGAGCTATACTCTCTATTGATGACTTTTCCATACACCTTTAGTTTACTTCAGCTGTTCCCCAGTAATTTTTCACCTGATTTTTATCACCGTTTCCTTTAAGTATGCGCACTACTCATGTTCTTTGCCACTGCTGTTTCTCATCCCTGTTATACATGATCTGAATGTCCTTCACCATCCATTCTATTATTTTTTTACTTATATTCAAATATACAATAATTCCATCCATTCCTGGTGCCTTTTTACTTGCAAGTTTGCTCCCTGCCGGTCATACCTCTTACTAATTCTTCCTTATTTATTTACTTAACTATCTTTAACAATACAGCACATCCATAAAATTCGCAGACCTCGATTATTCACGGATGACCCCCTGGATGTACCCAAGAACGTCTAAGGGTAGTTTTAAATTTGCTGGCATTTTCGCGGCCGGGACAAGGAGCCATTCGTTCTACAGACAGTAATTTATTTTACTTGTATTGTACATATGTGTGTGTCTACACACACATATACAATACTGTACAAGTTAAAGAAATAATTGTCCTTAGGGCAAATATATAAAGGCATTATACATTTCTTTGCAAACGATTAAAAATGTACACACTCCCCTGGTTAGCAAATGTTATATGTGGCCATTTTGAGAACCAAACCCCACAAATTTGATGGACATGCTGTACTACTTTTTATCACTGACTAACCCTGAAAGTTATAATTTTACCTGAAGTTGTTGTATTCTCTTTCTTTGAGCAAGTCGATGTGTCTCTTTTTGAGAAGGAGTTTACCATTCTCCACAACCAGAAGAGGGCGACAGATACGACCAGCATCTGTATAGATACGTATCTCTCTGTCCCTGATGTCTCGAACCATGCACACCTGCAAAGACAAGTATTATCTCTAATAAACTAAGACAAGTTACCTTGAGATATAAATTGAATCTTGTATGTAATTCTCTCCCCTTTTTTTAACTTACACAAAAATAAAGTATTATGTAATAGGTTTCACAAAAGGAAAAGGTTTATTCCATGAAAAATAAAAGTAAATTGGTAGTACCAAACAGGGAGGTACTACCGCCTGGGAAGATATTGGAAGCATAATGTGTTGTCTAATGGTAGACCCTGCTGCCATATGGCATCACGAAAATTGTGACCAAGTCCCAGGTTGCTGATCTGTCTTTTTGCCTCATTTACACACAATTGCAGGGTCTCAATTGTTTCTCTTACATGACAACACAACATACATATATTGTTTCTCACTATTGATTTTTTTTCATTCTTGTATTTCTTTGTATTTATTATTATTATTATCACAGTGTTGTTATTATTATTATTACCATTAATATTTTATTTTACTTTTTATTATAAATTTTATTTACTCTGAATTATTATTATTATTACATTTTCACCCCCCAGGCCCCGATGTGGGACAGTGACCTGTGCCCGGGTGGGCTAATCCCCGTAAAAAAAAAATATATATATATATATAATTACAGGCCTGAAAACAAGCTTATAGAAAAATTCCACAGCTGAGGTGAAGCAAAGTTGTACATCCTGTAGACTGACTCGTCTAGACACCAGAATCCAACAGGTCATTAGATGGCTTGTGGTGTATAGTGAGCAATTGAGGCGTTGAGTAATGTAAGGGCGAACTCACCGCCCAAGTGAAAATTACAGTGGTCCCTCGGTTAACGAACACAATTCGTTCCAGAGGGTCGTTTGTTAACCGAAAATTTCATTAACAGAAACCATTGTTTCAATGGGATATTGGGTAATTGGTTCCAGCTCACAGAAGAGTATATACAAAGTAAAGCCAAAAATGCATAAAGTCAGAAACAATCCTAAAATTCCCTAAATCTCCCTTAAATCACTATATATATATACATACATATACACTGCTGCTCTTAAATCACTACTGTAATGTGATGCAGGTGATTAATTTTATCTCTTGTGCAAAATATATGACGTTTATATTAAAATTATTAGCTGTCTTGCAAGGATTCCAGCAATGCAAATTATATTCTAACTTTAGTCTGAGATATTATACAGTATAAGATAAAAACTTAAAGCCTACTGAAAACCACCAAACCTTGGCTGGGAAGGTGGAGGGGAGGGAGGGAGGGAGGGGTGACAGTGACATGTTTGACAGTTGGCGCCGAGGTGTGAGGTATTTAATTGTTTATTTATGTCCTTTAGATTGAGTTTTTGTTTTTTGCTTATACAATTTCATAGAAGTGACCGGGGATAATATAATTTACATTGCTGGATTTATACTCTTCATAGATAGTATCATTGGGGTGTAAAAAAAATATCTAGAATTCCAAGAATCCACAAATATTCTCAGGTCTGAAATTAAAGGTTAATGTCCAATTTGATTAATAAAATTTTTTGGACTATCTTAATGTAAAAAAGAGCCAAATCATTTACCTCAGATACAATAATATCCATCTGACGCCTCAATTTGCGGAGAGTCATCATGAGTTGTTCTGGATCACGATGAATGCCAACCCAACAACCATTAACAAAAATCTTCGTGGCACTGAAAAAGAAATTTGCAATTACTGTATTTCCAATTCTTTTAAAAAGTACACAAAATATTTACTGGAAGGACTTCTGTATCAATGTCACAGAAAAATGAAAATTCTTAAATCTAAAATAGAAAAATACCTATCAGTTAAAAATTAACAAATAAACAATGAATTTTTCAACAACATCTACACTATTACAGCAACTGTAGAATTAAATATTAAGGTCACATATGAGGCTCTGGGTACAAAAACTCTCCAAGTGTCAAAAGAAAAAGAAAAAAGATAACAATTAGTACTGTACAGGTAGTTTTTACCATTAGCAATAAGGTATATTATGGTATGTTATAGATTTTTCACAGACATATTCATTATGTATTTCCCCAAACCTACAAAATAAGACAAATATTAAAAAAAATTATAAAAATTTGCATGAGTTACAGACACAAATATGAAAAAAAATCAAATGCATTTTTCTCAAAGCATTGTTTTCGTCGGCTTGCCCTTGCTACTCGCAACGCCTCATATACATTTCTGCTACTGTGTTCATAAAGTCACACACACAGGCATGAACACTGAGAATGACTTCATTAACCCACACGGCATCAGCTAAGTTAATACAGTATAATTATGTTCGGCTGCCGTCGGCAATTTTTCGACTATTGGAGTTTGGCTGAAATGGCCATATACTATCATATAATGAAGGAAAAACATCATTTAGCAACTCACCGGACCATGAAAGGTGTAGTTAAGCCCATGGGTGAGCGTGTCGCGGCGTTGAAAGTTTACGAGTACTGTAGAACCCGTAGAGTTTTACGGGAGATGACATTTTTCATCGAGTGAGAGTGGAATTATGCTAATTACCATAAGTTTTCACTGTCTGTAGCTGTTTTTTCTTTATTTATCGTCTATCTCAATTTCGGAACATCAATATATTTATCCTTTTTCGTATTATTTACACCCATTTTCATAATAATTTTCACCAATACATATTTTTTTTGTATGATTTTATAATTATTTATTTATTATTTGGTTTCACTTTTGCATTATAAGTACAGGATAGATTTTACAGTACTTATTCATTTATTTCGAAAGTATATCGACGTAACTGTTACGCCGTTGACGCTGAGAGTACAGAAACATTGCGGCGTAACTGCTACGCCGTTGACGCTGTACGGGTTAATATTAGACATATCAGTTTAAAGATGAATGATTTAAGGTGAAAAACATATCAAGCTCCATTACATACTCATCAATTGATGATGGTGCAATTTCCTCCAAGTTTTCCATGGACCACTCCTCCAAGAACTCCAAGATGGGTGCTGGCTGGGATCCAACAGAGATGTAGGACATAAGAGCTAGATTCTTCACCAAACCTACAGCAGCTCCTTCTGGTGTTTCTGCAGGGCAGATCATTCCCCACAGTGAGTTGTGCAGCTGTCTTGGCTTAGCCAATTTACCATCACGACCAATGGGAGAGTTGACACGCCGAAGATGAGACAGAGTTGAGGCAAAGGTCAAGCGGTTCAACACCTGGAGAAAATAAGGATTTATCTTAAGTATGAATGGATTACTTTTAATTACTCCAGTGTTAAAACCAGCACTCCTGGGTACCCAGTCTTCATAAAATTGTACTAAGACAAATTAAATTCCTATCTTAAACCAGCTGTTATCCATATATACAACAGCATTTTTTTTTAATTAGGTAATATCTCCGTTAGCCAGAATCCTTCAAACCCGGAACTCTCCGGAAAAATTATGAGAAAAATTTTCCTGATACCTGGAAATTCAGGAGATGGGGGATATTTTTCCGGGTTCGAGAGCTGATGTACCGGTAATCTCAACACCTCACCTCCCCCTCCCCCCAGCCAGAAGGCAAAAAGGATTTTAGAGGGTGAAGGTGGTTTTAGGCTTAAAGTTTTTCTCTTATACAATATCACTGACTTGACTTAGCTGAATATAACTTGCATTGCTAGAATCCTTGTAAGATAGTGATTAATTTGAACATGAACATCTCAAAATTTTAGTTCTTTAGCCAAGTACAAAGTGAGTACTGTACAGTAAACCCTTGCCATTCACGAGGGTTAGGTTCCAAGAAATGGCGCGAATTGGCAAAAACGCCAATAGCAACTTATATAATACCTTAGTGCACGAATATATACCTATACTGTGTATGAGAAACTATGTCAACAACACTATACTTACCTTCATATGTGGAAGTTTGGAGCTTGATGAAGTGGTGCACTGTACATAGGGAGACATATGGTTAACGAAACACAGGTGGATCATCAGGATCACTGTTGAAAGGGGGTGATGCAGTGGTGGTTGGTGGAGAGGCATGCGACCGGGATATGGTGTGTGGCCGGGAGGTGGGTGGTGAAGTTTCGGGTGGCTGGGAGGGGGAGGGTGGAGCAGCGGTGGTTGTAGCTGGTTCTTTCTTGAAAAACTTTGAGATTGGCAGTTGTTTCTTCTTTGCTTTGAGATCCTTAAACATTTCCTGGTAGGAAAACAATATCTGGGTGATTCCTCGGACCATATTAAGGCTGCATTCCATGGGAGGGTCGTGGTCAACAATGAATTCAGTTACCATCTGTACCTGCTGAAATAGTTCACCAAAATTGTCCAAGCCCCAACCTTCTTGTTGTAATTCCATAATGTCTTCCTATTCATCTTCCTCAGCACTTTTTACCAACTCTTCCAAATCCTCTTCTGTCATTTCCTCTCCTTGCCCATCAATCAACTCTTCCACATCTTCAGCAGCCATGTCCACAAACCCCTCACCACCCAATTGACATGCAACACTCACAATGTCTTTCACATCCTTTTACTATGGACAGAAATCCCTGGAAGTTATTCATACACTCAGGCCATAAGGTTTGTCAACAAGCATTCACTGTCTCTGGTGTGAGTTCATTAAATGCTTCACTGATGTTGGTCAGCAATGCTGTACTCCTTCCAACACATGCTAACATCAAGGTCAGGGTCTGCGTCCATGACACTAAGGACACGACCAAAAGAGCATCAGGTGTAATATGCCTTGAAGGTGTGTATTACACCCTGATCAAGAGGCTGAATAAGAGCAGCGGTGTTAGGGGGTAGAAACACCACCTCTACACCTGGATGGCTAAAATGCAAACTTTCTGGGTGGCCTGGTGCATTTTCTATCAATAATAACACCTTGAATTCCATCTTCTTGGAAGCAAGGTATTTTTCCACTTCCAGGATGAAGCATTTATGGAACCAATCCAGGAATGCTTGCACAGTTACCCATGCCTTTTTCTTTTTTTTTCTTTTTTTTTATCATATTCGCCACTTATCAGCTTACTAGCCATTTGGGCGTTCTATCCAGTGTTAGTACAGGAAGAAACCGGGGACCGGGAAACCTGTGGTGTTTGGTAGGGTCACACTGGATAACCCCCTTCTCACGTGTGTCTGGGCCAAGGCTCAAACCCCGGCAAAAGGTTCTTGCTTTTTCCCTTAAAAGCCCTAGGGTCTGCTGAGCAGTAAAGCAAGCCAGGTTTGATCATGTGAACAGCTGCATTGCCACAAAAGATGATCGCCACTCTGTCCTTGGCTGTCTTAAACCCAGGGGCATGCCTCTCCTGCTTGCTTCTGTACTATCGTGGACAAAAGTTCACTCCCTGTAGTGAAACTGAGACACGGGAATAAGTCTCCAACTGACTTACCCTGATTGTTATCTGGTGCGGGTGTGCTGTGTGCGTCGATACTGCTTCAGTTTGGGAAGGAGCAAACTTTTGTCCACGATAGTACATTCTACCAGGCATTTTCGTCCAGTATAAACCAGATTCATTGGTATTAAACACTTGCTCTGGTCAATAGCCTTTCTCTTCATTATTTTCTTTAACTTGGCAGGAAATGCATCTGCGGCCTCCCCAGTCAGCTTCACATTATGGAGAGAGAATCTTTTCTTAAAACAACTCGAACCAACCAATACTGGCACTACAATTGGTTCAGTAGCTGCACTAGCCCCTTCACCACTTGTTAACTCATAAAAATGAGCAAAAACACTTTTAGCTTTTTCACAAATCACGCTGCTGTCGATCGAAACTTTTTTGTGGTGCTGGTACTCAATCCAAATGTTCAGTGCTTTCTTAGTTTTCACTATGTTCTTGTCACGAACAACCTGCGCCACTTTAGCACTTGCATGAGCATTCGCTTGAACAGTATCACGAATTGCTTGTTAATTTTTCTAAGTACACTGCACTGTGGATTCGTTCACACCAACCAACCAACTAACCGCAGCAGCATTCATCCCCTCCTTTAACTTGTCTAATAATTCAACTTTCTTTGGCAGGGTCATCACTGCCTTTTGCCTTTTACATTTCACTCCACTAGCATCACTAGCACTGACACTAGGCAGTCTTTTAGGGGCCATTTTCACAAAGAAACACAAAAGTTTTGAGAGTACAACACGAGATGCTAGGTCACGGGTACTGGGTGAGCGTGAACAGAGGGATATGAGTACCGCGGGCACGTGGGGTGACTTGTTGTGCTGTGGGCAAAGGCTCGCAAGCTAGCCACCAGAGTGGCCAGCTGCTTACCACGAATTGTCAAAATTGCAAATGGCAGGGGCCAATGTTGCTCAAAATTATGGCTTTTTCAAAGGGAAAAGTCTTTATAACTAACCCCAGTGGTCAGGATATTACAGCATTGAATGTTACATTGTATTTCAAATAAATTCTTAGTTTAGTTCTGTACATGTTTGCGAATTCGCATATAGTGAATGAGCATAAAGCAAGGGTCCTTAGCACTAACACCTTGAGCCATAGCACTAACACCTTGTCATAGAGGCCAGTAAGCCTGGGCTAGATTTATGCTGATATAAGTTGTATTGGTACCAGTAGCACATTTTATGCATTATTTTGCCTTTTTTTAACCTTGGCTTTGATGTTCGGAATTTTTGCTAATCCCAAACCAGTCAGGTCCCAAGCTTCCTGGATTAGTGAATTCCAACCTATACTCGTATTGCAATGGTTTTTCCACAACTTTTATAGCATTACTGTTGACTTTTAATAGTTGTGGGAAATATCCTAATTTTCCCTATAAGATTAAGTATTCAATCATTGATACCAAACAGACACTCAGTAGCAGCATAGCTCATCCCTTATAGCAACTTGTCTAACACCAAAGAAGCCAGCACAGGGAGGACAGCAGACTATAAACAACACTAAGCGAGGGGAAACGCGTTCGTCACCTCGTGGCCACAAGCTCATTCTGACAGCTGAAGCTCGCCCTGCGCATGGCCCTCACTTTTTTTTCCTAGGCATTCTGTGAGTTTCCAAGGGTTGCAAGCTTTAAGACTGCAAGCTTTAATGGAAACTGTAAGTATTACCTAAAAGGTCAGGACCCTTACAGTGCACCCAGTTTAAAACAATAAGTTTAATAAGATATGCCTGCAAAGTTTTATTAAATATAATTTTAACTAGAATAAAATAGAGTTATAAAGAGAAAGGGAACTAGAAAGGTATAGTACAGTATTTGGCTTGAGATTTTTGAGAGAAGGGGCTTTAGAAGTCAAACAAATTGTATATTGTACCTGTACCTGCATTGTTAGTAAACATTGAACTTGATAATTGGTTCAGAGTTAGACAGGAAGTAAGACAAGGTCTGATACACATAACAAAACTTCAAATTCCAGTGTCTCTACTCTCTGTCATATCTACTGTATATAAACTTACCACCATATTCTCTGCACTTCATATTTACAAACAAAGAAATTGACTAACCAACATTTATGTATACAAGAAGATACTGTACTGTACATAATGTAAACTCACCTGTGATACACCAGCCCTGGCCTGATGAGCCTTCTTTTGGTCTCCCCAGTTCCCAGTGGCAAGAGAGTACCGTAGGCCATCAGTAATGAGCTTAGGTTTGACTGCTGCATCCAGACCATACTCTTGGCCCTTATCCAAAAGCTTCTGGGCATGCATGCGGACTTCCTTCATCAAGTTACGGAACAACCTGGAGAAATTTCAGTTAAGATGGAGTCAAAATACACTTTCTATAGAAAAGGCAATAAAGTAAAATCCCAGTTATCTGACACCTACAGGTATGGGAATTGAGAGGTGCTGGTAAAGAGATTTTCTGGTTAGGTGAGCCTCACTCCTAGGATCCCCTATAAATCCTATAATGCATAGTGCTAAAGGTTGACCTCTCAAAATTCATGTTTCAGAAGTCCATTTTTCTGCAAATCCATGGAGATTTATGAACGCTGACCCAATTACCCTGTTTTTTGCTTGTCTGTGTTCATGTAAGAAAAAATAAGAACAATTTTAAATTTAAACGCTTATCGAAATGCAGATTTGTGGAAAACAAACTTTTTTAACACATATTTTATAAAATATAAAAGTAAAAAATAAGAAAAATGAACACCATGGGTGTGCGTAAGTGGGACATGAAAGTGTGTGGTGGTGGTAAGCCATAACTGCATTGCCGTGCTCTCTCTCCTACTGAGACATCATGGCACACACACAAAGCAGCAGCCACATGTCTGTGAGTCAGCTGGTTGTCTGCCCGGCTGAACTGGGTTGTGTCACCCAGAGGATAGGAGGAGCGTGGAAGGAGCTATTTTTTGTACATAAATTATGAATTATGTGTGATTGTATTTTATGATATGCTATCTATTAACTTTATTGTTTATCATAGCATTTTCTTTTTCATTTTTGACATAGTAACTTTATTTTGTTTTCAAATTAGGTTAACCTTGTGCTCAATAAATCATGTAACTCTGAACCACATCGTTTATATAAAGTGGAATGAATGTTTAAAACTGTCCAATAAATATGGCAGTTCATCCCCATTGTGCGCAGTAGTCAAGCTCAGGATTCTACCCAATTATGGAGATATTTATATGATTATTACCTGCACGTATTATTATTTAATGTTGGTGACGCTTGAATATAACTCTTGACTGGACTTCAGTTAACTGGGATTTTACTGCACTGTACTGTACTCCACTGCACTGTACCATACTGTACTGTATCAAACTGTACTGTACTGTACTGTACTGTGCTGTACTGTATCATACTATACCACACTGTACTGTATCATACTATACCACACTGTACTGTATCATACTATACCACACTGTACTGTATCGTACTGTACTGCACTGTACTGTATCATACTGTACTGTACTGTATCATACTATGCCACACTGTACTGTACTGTACTGTACTGTGCTGTACTGTATCATACTATACCACACTGTACTGTATCGTACTGTACTGCACTGTACTGTATCATACTGTACTGTACTGTATCATACTATGCCACACTGTACTGTACTGTATCATACTGTACTGTACTGCACTGTACTGTACCACACTGTACTGTATCATACAGTACTGTACTCATACTGTACTGTACTATACTGCATCATACTGTACTGTACCACACTGCACTGTACCACGCTGTACTACATCATACTGTACTGTACCATACTATACCACACTGTACTGTATCATGTACCACACTGTACTGTACGTACTGTACTGCACTGTACTGTATCATACTGTACTGTACTGTATCATACTATGCCACACTGTACTGTACTGTACTGTACTGTATCATACTATACCACACTGTACTGTATCGTACTGTACTGCACTGTACTGTATCATACTGTACTGTACTGTATCATACTATGCCACACTGTACTGTACTGTATCATACTGTACTGTACTGCACTGTACTGTACCACACTGTACTGTATCATACAGTACTGTACTCATACTGTACTGTACTATACTGCATCATACTGTACTGTACCACACTGCACTGTACCACGCTGTACTACATCATACTGTACTGTACCACACTGTACTGTATTGTACCGCACTGTATTGTACTGCACTGTACTGTACCACTTTGTACTGTACCACACTGTACTGTACCACTTTGTACTGTACCACACTGTACTGTACCACATTGTACTGTACCACACTGTACTGTACCACATTGTATTGTACTGTAGCACACTGTACTGTAGCACACTGTACTGTAGCACACTGTACTGTACCACACAGTACTGTACCACATAGTACTGTAGCACACTGTACTGTAGCACACTGTACTGTAGCACACTGTACTGTACCACACTGTACTGTACCACACAGTACTGTACCACACTGTATTGTAGCACACTGTACTGTACCACACAGTACTGTAGCACATAGTACTGTACCACATAGTACTGTACCACACAGTACTGTACCACACTGTACTGTAGCACACTGTACTGTACCACATAGTACTGTACCACACAGTACTGTACCACATAGTACTGTAGCACACTGTACTGTACCACACTGTACTGTACTGCACTGTACTGTACTACATTGTACTGTACTACATTGTACTGTAGCACACTGTACTGTACCACACTGTACTGTACCTCACTGTACTGTACCACACTGTACTGTAGCACACTGTACTGTACCACACTGTACTGTACCACACTGTACTGTACTACATTGTACTGTAGCACACTGCACTGTGCCACACTGTACTGTACCACACTGTACTGTACTGCACTGTACCACACAGTACTGTACCTCACTGTACTGTACCACACTGTACTGTACCACACTGTACTGTACTACATTGTACTGTAGCACACTGCACTGTGCCACACTGTACTGTACCACACTGTACTGTACCTCACTGTACTGTACCACACAGTACTGTACCTCACTGTACTGTACCACACTGTACTGTACCACACTGTACTGTACCACACTGTACTGTACCACACTGTACTGTACCACACTGTACTGTACCTCACTGTACTGTACCACACTGTACTGTACCACACTGTTCTTGGTTCTTCTTTATTGTCAATTACTGTACACTTTTACTGTACTGTACCACACTGTACTGTACCTCACTGTACTGTACCACACTGTACTGTACCACACTGTTCTTGGTTCTTCTTTATTGTCACTTACTGTACACTTTTACTGTACTGTACCTCACTGTACTGTACCACACTGTACTGTACCACACTGTTCTTGGTTCTTCTTTATTTTCAATTACTGTACACTTTCATAACAGAAGACATAAAAAACGTCTAAGACAGACAGTTCTCACTCTATCAGAGGGATGCACTCTGCAAAAGTCATTTATAAAGTAAAAATTCCTTAGTAAAGGCATTATTCCCCGAGACAAAGTGTTAAAAACAGAGGATGCATTCCTGGGGGCTTATTTTCAACCACCTCCAACAACCAGCATCATCAGGTTCAGTCAACTTCTCTCCCACATGGGTCGGAGCCCGGCAAAAACTGACTTTCCAGCCCCAACGTTGGATGAGAAACAGCCACTGTAAAATAACTAAGTAGTACCCCGTTTACGCGGTCAATTGAACCCACAGGGTGCCGCGGAAAGTGAAAACCACGTAAAGTGAACAACAGAACATATGGGATTAATTCCAATAGAGACTGGCCCGACCCCCAAACGCCACTTTTTCCGACACAATACCTATGTTGTAGTAAAAATAACATCTAAATTTTATGATGGTATGCTCACACAATTAATATTTTAGAGAAATACAGTCGCCAGGTTAATGTCCATTCAAATAATGGACTCAAATCCCTCCCCCCTCTTCCCAGCTCACTGGCCCCTACCTCTCTGAGAAATGTTGGGTGAAAACACTAGATTTTAACGTTTAGTAATAAATAATACCTCAGACTAAAGTTAGGATAATATAATTGACATTTCTGGATTCCTTGCAGGTCATGGAATATTTTGAATGTAAACTTCATATATTTTGCACAAAAGATAAAATACTTGCTTTGTGTAAACCAAATTATTACATTAGATCTAAAATTTGTATGTCTAATGCAAAATCCATGATGTTTATATTCAAAATGATCATCATATTGTAAGAATTCCAGCAATGTAAATTATATTCTGGCCGAGTAATTTGTATGAATTTTATGAAATAAAAAAAAAATAAAAAATAAATTATACTTCACCCGTATATGAGTATATGAGTAGATGCACCGAGGAAAGTGAAAGTCTGGTTCTGGCAAAGGCAGCGTAATGAAATCTGAGAAATCACTGAAAGTGAAACTGTGTAAAGCGGGGAAATACTGTAATAATAATAATAATAATAATAATAATAATAATAATAATAATAATAATAAAGAAACCCTGCAATTGTGTGTAAATGGGGCAGAAAGTCAGATCAGCAACCTGGGACTTGGTCACAATTTTCGTGATGCTATATGGCAGCAGGGTCTACCATTAGACAACACATTATGCTTCCAATATCTTCCCAGGCGGTAGTACCTCCGTTTGGTTGCTGCCTAATACCTACTACTTACTGAACATGGCTAGTTTTATCATAATTTAAGACTATTTGCATAGCTGCAACCAAGGTGAATGACCTGGTTACTTTCACTCTTCCTTCAAGGAGCTATGAAGGGATGAGGTATAGGACCCTTACACATACAGTATATAGCTACAGGAAGTTTGAGAAACATGAACCTGATCAAGATTTCAATCCTGCCATGAAGCCCTTCTGGTCTTTCTAAAACCACCACCACCTAACCAGAATTTCAAAACCCTCATTAGACAGGGTGAGGCACTACTTGCACTATAAACAATATTTTCATAGCATATGCATTTTGTTACAAAATATAAGTTCAATGTCAAAGGCATGCTCTGCCAGCAAGTAATTAATATAGACAGGTAGATTCTGCAGGTTATTCATCTTGTCCAATCACCTATGAAATGGGAACTCATACAACAACCCTTCATTCTTTTAAAAAAAAGAGCTCAGGCAAAGCATGATTTCTGTTTAAATTTTTCCTACACTTACTTACCCTCTAAAAAGTAGTGCCATGAGTGGACCAGCTAAATCCAACCTCTTGTTACCATAGTGATCACGATCATCTAGCTCACGACGACCTAGAGCTGCCAGAAGAAGTCTATGAACCATGTATCCTAAGAAATAGGCCTTCTTTGTCTCACAAAAGTCTGAAACACCTACATGAGGCAGCATTTCTTTTTGTAAGATCTCACGGGCATATTTGATACGTTTCTCTTTGGCGACTCCAGGACGGGCACCACGTCCACCAATGAAATTCAGTGCAACGTTCTGCTCTTGAATCACAAATGCCTCATCCAGAGACGGTTTTACCTAAAAAGTAAAAATAAAGAATGATGTAATGAAGGTATAGAGCAAAATAAGAAACAATATTAATAAAGATACTGTATTAATTACCTATGTACTGTAAGTTCAAATACTGAAAGTAAGAGGGTTGGGGGAAGGAAGAAATTAGGATACATGAATTAAATTACAAGTGAGGTCCCTGATGAAATAAAACAATATAGGAGAATTGGTAAAGACAGCCCAAATACATTTGGAGTGGAAGGACATGGCTACCAACTTTCAAACCTTATGATGGACCTTGAGTCATGAACTGCTGAACTTCTAATACAGTACACATCCTTCTGTATACCAAATAATTCCCCAAACAGTTTGATATCACAGACAAATAAAATGTTTTTACATGAATACACAGTACTGTATATAGTTTGACAGCACCAATCTATCTCTCTACAATATCTATAGTATTCATATACTCCAGGTCCATATAAAATAGTTGACACTCACTTAAATTATCTTCTTTAATAATTTCCAATAATTTTGTGAAAAATATGAATGATCAGCTACTGAAAATTTAACAAAATCAATGTCAACACTATAATATCCCAGCAACATATGAACATAACTTGAATTATATCAAAGAAAACAATCCTTAACCCCTTCACTATGGGATGATTTTATCCAGCTCAGCGACCCCCATACACAAGGGGTTAAGGGGAGCGTCCAGCTCAGAGATTGAAAAAATACGAAAAATATGAAATTATCTGAAAAAATTCCCACGTAATGGTACAATATTGTATATGGCCGTATATACACAGAGTTTTAGAGGAAAATTCGCAATATTTATGTAAATGTAGGAGGAAACTCCCCCTTCCCTCCCCCACTGGTTCATGACCATGACTAGAATTATCAAGAGTTACAGTAAACTATTCGTCAAAAAATAGTGTAAAATTAGCCCTTAAACAGCTTCAGGAAATGGTTGTTGGCTACTCTATCTTTCTTGAGCCTGTGTGTGGGATGGTACCAGTCTCTCACACATAGAATGGCATCAGTGAGCTTCCAGCTATGTTGAGAAAGGGCACCTGTGAACTGCTACTGCACACTCTCTCACTGTCACAAAACCCTCATTTGCACCACTTTACTGCCCTTTATCGAGATGCCACGTCTAACAAAAAGGAGGAGACTACTACAGGAAGCACGGAGCAAGAGTATGGAGTATTTCAAGATGAAGAAAAAATTAAAAAATTAAAAGAGAACAGAAGGGAAGTGATGGGAGCAACCAGCGCTTGGCCAGTTGCCAGCACGTTCAGCACACCACCTGCCACTCACACCACGGACTCTGTACAACCTCCTTCTGACACCACGGACTCTGTACAACCTCCTTCTGACACCACGGACTCTGTACAACCTCCTTTTGACACCACAGACACCATACTACCTCACTCTGACACGATGCTCTCACCACAACAATAAGATGAAGATGCAAGCCCCGAGTCAGTTGCCAGCACCTCACACACACACCACCTCTCACTGACATCACGGACTCTGTGCCACCTCCCTCTGACACCATGGCATTCCACAACAAAATAATGAACATGCAAGAATGGAGGGTTCTTCACTGCTAGCAATACGTACTAAATTGGTAGCAGACATTGAAGAAGAAGAACATAACAGTGAAAACGAGTGTTAGTGTTATCATCACCCAAACAAGACTAAAGAACCTCCTTGCCTTTGCTGTGCTTGTGCATATGACAGCTGTGATATTGAATTTCAATGTGATGGATTTGAGAGCACCATAACTCTATACTGCGACCTCTGTGGACTAAAAATTTGAGAGCACCATAACTCTATACCAGGGGTCACCAAACTACGGCCCGTGGGCTGGATCCCAAGTCCTTCCCCGGCTCGTGGTAGCTCCGCCTACGCTCTGACGTTACCAGAGCTTTCGTTCTGGCTTGCAAGTATTGAACAGAATGATTATGCGGCCCGCGCTCGTCATTCTTTCAGTTATCCGGCCCACTGTGAAAAAAGTTTGGTGACCCCTGCTCTATACTGTGACCTCTGTGGATTAAAAAAAAAAAAAAAGATACCAAGCCTACAGCAGTACCAGTAGCCACTCATCATACGAAGACTCCTGTCTTGAAGACTAATGTTGGATTGATCTACTGACCAGTCATTAATGATTTTGGGCTTACTGGAATTAGAAGATTGCTGGATCAATTTGGTATGCCAATTACTGTATTGGTAATTACAAATATTACATATATATTCATTACATATTTGATGCTATCAAGACTCACTATGAAAGCAAGCAAAGCAAAATTCTTCAGGCAGTCAGAGAGTTCTATGAAGAATATTCCTCAAACATTCCTGATGAAGATGGAGTCCTGAGCATAGATATATCGCATGACGGATCTTGGATGAACAGGGGATATACATCAAAAGTGGGGATGGCTGTCATCATAAAAGTATGTACTGGCTTCATTATTGACTATGAAGTTATGAGTAAATACTGTTTCATGTACACCGTCAAGGAAGGACAACTCCAGAAAAAGACGAGTCCAGAGCAAGACTTTAGGGCATGGAACACAAGCCACCAAAGCAAATGCACCAAGAACTACAAAGGCACATCTGGGGGAATGGAAACAGAAGGAGCTGGAAGTTTGTTTGGCAGGTCACAAGACCTGAAGCTTAGATATGAACATTTTGTAGGAGATGGAGACTCTAGCTCGTACAATTCAGTGCGTGCCATGAACAATGGCACCTACCAGGACACACAAGTGAAGAAGCTGGAATGCACCAATCATGTTGATAAATGGATGGGAACAATACTTAGGAAACTCAGAGACAAAGAGAAGATAGAGACAACGACAAACAGTGGGAATATTGTGAGGAGAAGTATGCTGGGCGGGAAAAACAAGTTGACTGACAAGGCAATTGACACTCTAACGTCTTATTTCAACAAAACAATAAGAGATAATGTAGGGAAGACATTTCTTGACATGAACATGGCAGTCATGATCACCTGACTCCTGGTACTTTTTTCAGAAAGCATTAGCTGAAGGCAAAGAGAAAAAAAGACATATCGCACAAGAAGAGGTCTCTTGTCATCAGTGTTGATGAATCAGGACAGAAGATCAAAGACATCTACCAGGCACTGTCAACAAGAGAGATCTTGGAGAGATGGGCGCACACACACACGACTAGATTTGCTGGCCTTGCTTGTCTTAGACCACAATTTCGGATATCAACAAACATCACTCCTGAAATTCTTGAATATGAACTCATCTACCATTGATGAATCGCTGTTGAAGCGAGATATCAATCATCGGAAGCATAGCACACCCAAGACACGGCCTAGAAAAATGAAAACAAAGACTGCAAAGAGTTCAGATAACTATGCACCAGGAGCTTTTTGATCCAGCCTAACAACATAAAGAGACACCAGTTCTTGTGGTCTTTTCTGGCGACAATGTAGTATGGGCACCTCCCATACCCTCTCAACAGGGATAATGCTGTGCCTCACGCTGAGGCACAGGGGGACCAGGAGCCTAATATAATGTACAATGAGAATGTAACCAAGTTCTTGTCGAGATATAAAAATATGCAAAATAACACTAAATTACATGTCAAATAAACTCAGATGAACAAATTACATGACCGTTACCACCAACAATAAAACTTTTTCAGACTGTATCTCAAAACTAACTTTCTCACATTCAAAACTGTCATACCTCAGCTATTTCTGGATCGATTTCAGTGAAATAAACACTGATCACAAGAAGAATCTCTTCTCAACATCATAATACAATGTTTGTTTTTTTGTAATTTAAATACAGTCGTATTTTTTTCTTTGGGGGGAGGGGGGTCACAAAATTTTATCCCAATATCTTGAAGAAAATAGCACATGATTTTCAAAAAATTCATAGGTCTAAGCCAAAGCGAAAAATAAAATTATCATCCTAGCATACTGAAGAACACCATAGATTCTCTAAACCATATAAATTTCAAGACAGTGGAACAAATGATAATAGAGTAGCACCTTGAAAATTTAGAAAGGGGTGAAAAGGGCAAAAAATGAAGGGGGCAGAGGAGGGAGTTGGAGGGCTAGAATTGATGTACATGTTGCCCGTAATTAGTGACAGGAATATCAAAACATTCGGCCAATATTTAAGGCCCCTTGTACCTCAACCAGACACTCCCCTTAAACAAGAGTGTGACCTAGCTCCTTCACCTATCACAGCAAATCAATAGGGTGCTTTCTTGCCCCAAAGGGTTCCAAAATCAAAATAAACACTGGTCTCGATATACTATATGAGTTCAGTACAGTGTATGCTGCTTCGCTTATATGTGAGGACTCCATTTCTATCAGCCCCTTGGTTTAAGTATGAAAAATTTACCCTTATACGAGCTGGTGCGAGCCACTATACTGGGACCTCTAGTGTAAGAAAACCAATAAATATGCCATTAATGTTTAATTTCTTAAAGAAACATTAAATACTTTAAATACTTAACATTTTATTAAATAAGTTTTTAAAAGTTTAATAAACATCAAACAAAGACAGTCGATCAGCTGACGAAAACATAGTTTCTCTGCCCTAAATAGATGGCAGCACGAGATGGCATGTTATTTGCTAACATAGGCCGCCATTACATCGTTCCCTCACAACATAGGTCATCTTAATCTGAATAATTGCAGTCTCAGGGAGAATATTAATTGTACAGTCGTCCCTTAACATACGCGGGGGTTAGGTAACAGAGATACCCGTGAATGTTAAAAATCCGTGTACTATTGCTGCCCCCCCCTAAAAAAACCCTGGCCCCCCATGTCCTTATTTACCGTATATACCTGTGTGTAGTTTGAGTTTTTAAGACCAAATTATTTGGCAAAAAATTGGGGGTTGACCTCGAAACGGGTAATAGTTTCGTTGGGTTGAAAAATATTTACCAGTAACTACCAGTAAACAATCGAAACGACACACCAACGCACCACCAGCTGTGAGTGTCGGTACAATTGCCAGGGCAGATCTCTTGCGTCATCATAGCAAGCCCAAAGTAGCCAAATGCATGGTATGGTATGCACAGGACGATGTAAAACATAAAGTATTCATTTTTTTAAGTTTATTTATAGATACTGTACATAAATTTTTGTTCATTACATTTGAAACATCAATCTTTGTTAATTAAATTTGAAACAAAAGAAAACTACGACACCGTATTTCTAGATACCGGGTATTTTCATTAAAATATTACATCACAAGTATATTTTACCTTAACTGTAACTGAATGAATATATTCTCAGAAATAAATATGGAAATGTAATATTTTTGCTGAAATGACTTACGGATTACAGTGGAAAGTGGGATAAAATCATGACGAAAACAATGACTTTCGCTTTCTTTCGTTGTTCAAAAGATTTTACCGTGAAACAAACCTGTACTGTACATGTACTAAATGATTACGGTACTTAAATTGTTGTCTATTGCAAATATAGATTGTTTATACAGGTATTCAAATAAATCACTATCTTACAAGAATCCCAGCAATGTAAGTTATATTCACCCAGGTCGCTTGGATGGCAAATTATGAGAAGAGCTTAGTCACTCTTAAGTGATGATAAATAAACACGTAAGCCTTCAGCGCCAACTGTCACATCTTATCTCAAATAAATAAACAAACACCACACTCTGTCACCTCACCTCCCGCCCCCCATGCTCGCTGGCTACCTGCCTCCTTGTGTTCCCAGACAAAAGATTGGTGATAACTTTATTCTTTAAGGTGTTTATTTTATATAATATCTCAGACTAAAGTTAGGAGATTATAATTTGCATTGCTGGAATCCTTGCAAGACAGCCAATAATTTGAAAATAAACGTCATATATTTTGCTCAAGATATAAAAATGTAGTACATTAGTGTACAAAACTGTGTAGTAAATTTTATAATACAGTGGGGTATGCTGTAACGAACGGATCCTACTACGAATATCCCAATAACGAACGTTTTTACCTATAAAATTGAGAATGCTAAAACGAACGCAACTCCTACAACGAACGCGGATGAATACGGGACTATTTCGCCTGGCGCATGAATATTGTTGTACCGCGACCCACAACAAGAGTATCAGGCGCCATCTTTGTCTCATTGTGTTGAAATTTCGTCTTTTGATGTGGAAATAGAGTTATTTGTATAAATATTTTGTTATACAAGTGTACAATTGTAACAATGAATCATCCAAAGCGAGTGAGAAAGCTCATAACTCTTGAAACTAAGAAAGAAATCATAAAGAAATGTGAGAATGGAACAAGCATTGCGAAACTTAGTGATGAGTATGGGATGGCTAAATCGACTATATGTACGATTTTAAAGAATAAAGAGGAGTTGAAAACTGTGCAAGTGGCTCAGGGAATCTCTAGACTTAGCAAAGCAAGGTGTAATGTGATTGAAGAGACGGAAAATTTACTCTTAGTGTGGATAAAGGAAAAAGAAATGGCAGGTGATAGCATTAGTGAAGCTATAATTTGTGAGGCCAGACAATTGTTTGAGGACCTTAAAGCCAAGACTCCCAGTGCAAGTGATAGTGATGTGCCAGTGTTTAGGGGTACCAAGGTGTGGCTACAGTGACGACTCTAGCTTGGCAAAGTGCTACCAGCAATGTAAATAAGTGCAACAATTAAAACATACAGTTTTTAGTTTTCATTAATATATTAGTCCAGAAATAATGCCACACACTAGCCTGCACTACAGTACACTGCGTACTGTACATGCTCACCATGTAATGCTCTCAGATGCCTGTGTGAACATCTGAGCATCTTCTGATGCTACAAAAATTTTAGTAATTTTTTTCTCATAAAAGTGGGGTCTTTGTTCATATACCAAAGAGCTGGAACGAAACAGTTTTTTCACATAAGCGAATTTTCATAAATCATTGTTACTTAAGTTGAAGCACTGCTGCAGATATTCACCATGATCTGTGTCAAATTTGAATAGTGTACTGTACAAAGAAATCCATAAGATTAAGGGGCATTAAGGTAAGAGCAGCTTAAACTAATATATCATCAAATATCATCCTATTTAAAGTAAATTTCTACCACCCTGGTTCAAAGGTTGCTAGAAAAGAGAGGGACAACCTGTAGTGATTTATTTTTTGCATTCTCTTACAATTGTCTGCTACTTCCAAATTAAGTATGCAAGATTACACTATCCTGGAAACAGGGGGAGCGGGTGGGTGTTTACCACAGGAGCAAAAGATGTGTTATACCAGAATACATTACTGCTGTTCGTGACCGACCAATGCAAAATTAGTCAAATAAAGTGATGTATTAGTGCACATAAAATCTTTAAGGGTGAGGACAAATAATCAACTTTCTGGTATTTCCAGTAATTTGTTCAAATAGATGTTCCCTCATGGAAAGAACAGGTTCTATTTTATCCACTTTTGTTTCTATAGACTTAAAAATAATAAAACAGTACAATACTTACCATCTCCATCATTTCAGGATCATCAAAATCGTATATGATGTGCTCTAGGATATCTCGATCTGCTACAAAGCCCAGAGCACGAAATACAATCATCACTGGGATTTCTTGCTTCACATAAGGTAAGACACCGATGATACGCTGACCAATAGCAGATTTTTTGGCACTCTGTGGATGAAGTTACAGTGATAAAAAAAATTCAATATTACTATTCAAATGTATAAATTAAATTATGTTTTGTCCTCAACAATGACAGACTTCATTACCAATGCAGTTGATCATATTAGAAATTTTATTATTAATGTCACACAGGAAAATCAATGCATATATTTTTGTCTAACTCTATTTTAATCAAACCTCTCTACTATAACCTTTTTCAACCCAAGCATAAAAATTCTTTGCATTTCCTAAAAAAAAAATTCCCTTGACTATCGGGTATACAACCTTAACCACTCCTATGCTTTATCAGTCATTAATCTCTTAGTTAAAGTATTGCCACACCCAGTTATGAAATAAATACTGTATTATACATCTTAACCAATCCCTACATGATATCCACATTATATTTCTGCCTTTGGCCTTAACCAGAGCCTTCTTTCACTATAGGTGTACCAAGGTGGAGGGGCTTTGGGGCGATTGTCCCCTTGTGCTAGTAAATGAGTCCAAATAAACCAAATGAAAATATATGTAATCAAATATACAACTCTCAGACATTTTTTCAAGACTACCTTCATTGTTATATTATGGCATCATAATGTTTTCTAGCAATAGCTAGTTAATCATCTTTAACTGAACGGTAAGCTCATCATAAACATATATTAAAATATTAATTATCTCGTACTTCAATAATACTTTAAAATTCAGTATATTTAGTTCAAAGTCCCCCCCCCCCCCGACAAATTTCTGGGTATGCCACTATCTTTCACTCAAATCTTTTTGTCAATCATTCCAATATCTATTCTTTCCATTCAACAATTCTGCTGTGTATCTCTTTAATTTTGCCATTCATAACTCTTCCTAACTCCCCTAAAACTAAATTAATCCCTAACCATCCTTACAGCCAGCCTTCCAAGTGCTAACAATAAATCATAAACTTAAGAGCAATGAATATTCATTAAGTTGGCTCCACTACTTATAGTTAACAATTTATACTGTATTTTACTTACAATCATCACTTTCTTCGTACATCTCTAAATTACAAACCCGTCAACACTTGTTATTTCAATCTCATAGCTTCAGGTTTTACTCAATGCATTAAAAATTACAAATCTTGTCTCCTTTTCTGTCCATCCAATTATTCTTCACAATCTACCTCCCTTCCTCATAATCACTTTATTGTACTTCCCTTTTATTTTCCCTATTAATACTTGAATGCATGCCCTTCCAACACAATCTGTAACTCCCAGACCCATCTTCTTCCATATCTAAATCTCCATTTTTAATATGCTGGCAGAAAGTTAAATGCTTTGAACAATCTCATCCTCTGGCTCATCCATCATGCTAAATAATTTTGTTCTCCTTTATCCAACTTGATTATACAGTACTGTACTAGAACAATAACAAAGCATTTTTCCAGAAGAGTGTCAACGTCTTGTAAATGGCTTACCAAGACCATACATGTACTACAGGTACCAGACCATTAAGCCACTAAGATTGGGACCCGAGTGAATCGGTTTCCTGGATTTAGTGGATTTTAGGTTTTAAACGGGTATTTTGAGACCCAAACCCCCGCAAATATTAAAGGCATGCTGTATTATACTGTAGGCCTAACTAGCAGTGTCACCATATGCACTTTTGACAAACCGAGTGATTAGGCAGTAAGTAGACTGCCATAAACCACTAGTGAGAGATAGTAAGAAGAATAACACCATCATGACAAAGACTACGGTGAGGCATTGTTGTTGGAGAGAAACCAATTTCTTTTGGACTTTCCATTAGCAAGTGGACTTCCTGCTAGCCATTTAGATGTGTTAATACTGTAGATGATAATAATAATAAATTGGAATAAATAACCACAAAAGGTAGAGAGAGACAAATACACACAGATGTTTAAGACGGAGGCCACTGTGGCATCTTTACCCATAAATAACCAATGTGTCCAGCCAAACCCGCCATTTCTAAACTAACGAGGTTAAAATGAAAGAAAAAATAATAATAATTTCCAGGTAAATCCAGTTTCCTGGAAGCTGGATAAATTATCTGGTATGTACCTATAGTTCTAACAATAATTATATAAACTGTATTTTCTATTACTTATTATTTATCTTCTACATTTTTCAACAACTTTTACACAATTTAATTCTAACATTATCATGACTGATATTTACAAATGATATCCAAGTTTTAAATAAACATTACCCCAAAAATTATATCTCTACTTTCCATTAGCAGTAATTTTTCTTCCATAGAAAACTAATTTCATTCACAAAACATAAAATTCCTAACCTCTACTACTTCATACAGTGCAAAATAATCAAACTATTGAAAATTTTCCAGATAAATTTAATCATGGCTTTGGAAATCCACCAGCAGCTAGTGATATCACTGTCTACAGTATTACTGACTGACAGGCTAAAACATGATTAGTATAAATAATTGAAATTTAAGGTACATTAACTACAAACATTTTGTAGCTAAATATGAAGAGTGCCATTGAGTCTTGCCTGCAGCAAAACTTGTCTCCTACTTTTATGAGGAAGTCTTCTACAGTACTTACACTACCACCCCTAGCCATCATGTTGATCCAGAGAGTTGATACAGGTCGAGCAGAGTGTTCAATACAAGAACGAATCTCACACTTGTATGCATATTTGCCATCCTTCATGCTGAACACATATACTGTATTAGTTGCCATTTTTTCCTGAGCAATCAGCACCTAAAGAAAAGAGAACATCATTAAGCAAGAATTAATAACTAGGATACATTTCACAATTCATGGGGGATCCTACCAATCTAGTGGAATTACCCCATTAACTTTCCTAACATGTAATGATTACATGTAGACTCAGACATGTCTTGTGTACTGAATTAAGTCAGGTCATGTTGTTTACTTAGTTATATCCTGTGGTCAGTTGTGCATCATGCACCATGTGTTAGTATTCTAACAGTGGTGGTCCAGAAGTGGAACAAAACTAACCAGTGTTTGGATTTAAAGTAGTCTTTATAAGCCTATTTTCTCTGCTAACTGACTGTTAAAGTAACAATATAATATGTTTTAAAACTCATAAGAATACTGGAAGACTAAAAGTGCACATGTACTGTCTTAACCCTCTCGCACATGAGATAAGTTTTAAGTTTTTCAGTTCCAAGATCACATCTCTGAGCCCCCCACCAAAAAAAAAAAAAATAATAATAATAATACACATATACTGTATAGCTATTTTTCATGACTTCTAATAAATATGAAAAAAAAAAACACACACTAATATGTTCACAACCTCTTAGCTCAAAATTGTCCAAGCCAATTTTTTAAGTACAGTCAACCCTCACATTACGCGGTCCCGCATTCCGCGTTTCACCGTTAACGCGGTGCCTTGCCGGAACCTAACATGCTCACATTCCGCGGTCGTGAACCCCATTACGAGGAGAGCGGCTGGCAAGCCGCGCCATTTTTGGATCCAAACCTCCCGCCATCCGCCATGTTGTGTAAGAGGCGCGAAAATGGTGCGCACAAGGTCGCCCAGTCATCAAAACATTACCAGTTCTTCACCCGCCACCCACTACAGCCGGCCCAAGTCAGTGATAGTGATAGTAAGGATATGGACTTATATGGACTTTGAGGGGTTTGACAAAGAGGCCCTGCAAGCCTCTGTGGTGGATAGTGATACAATTGATACAGGTGAGGGCCAATAATCTGCCCTCTGCCTCGGAACCAACCGCCCATCCCCGTGTGCCCAGCCATCTTTTCTACTAATGTAAGCGTTAAAAAACCTAATATTATTGATATTTCTCTTAATTATTAATTGTGTGTGCATGCCATCATAAAGTTAAGATAATATTTTTACTACAACATAGTTGTGTGTCGTCAAAAAGTGGAGTTTGGGGATCGGCCTGGACTCCATTTCAATTAATCCCATATGTTATGTTGTTCACTTTACGCGTTCCTCACTTTCCGTGGTACCCTCCGGGTTACATTAACCGCGTAATGTGAGACCCAACTGTACTATACATAGCTGGAAGCAGAATTTTGTGAGCTTTCCAATGTAGTAATCAGATTTCTTATATGACCAACAGTTTTTGAGAAAATAGAAAAAAACTGATTCTCAAATGGTAAAAAAAACAATCTTTTTTGATTATTTTTGTGTCTATGTTTTACATCGATATAAATTATATTGCATCTTGTAGCCAACACTGTATTGGAGAGAATGGTACTGATAAAAATTCATTTAAGTCTAGAAATCATCCTCTTTCAGACTTTTTTGAGACATTATCACTAACGAAGTTGTATAGCCTGATACGGTAACAGCTTTTGAAAACAAAACATTTTCCCTGCAAATATGAAAAAAATATTACACAACCATCTAACAGTAAAAAGAAATTATTTCAAGGAGTATGGTAGCACTGTAATCCAGTTGAGGCAGCCCGCACAGAGTTATGGAAATTTAAATGAACACGGCTCACACTCATGGTCTGATTGCTGAGATAATACTGTACATTTATCATTCCGTTCTTCCCTTCCTATGGGCCTCGAGAGTTGCCCATTAATTTATTTGATAGAACGTACTTGTTACTAAGATGCATAAAAATTTGATGCAATTCTGTTGAAAACTTAATTTTTTATAATTATTTAAAGTTTGGTGACTCGATTTGCGCGACCATGAAGTTGGTATTATCATGAATATGACGTGAATCACTTCATCGTGCACGAGAGGGTTTGTTATCACCATCAGAGCAATAATGTGATAATAGACCAATTTACGTTCCACTCGAAGTTATCATTCGGTCAAACCTGTTGGATACAATTCATTTTTATTATTTCAAATAATAATTCATATACAGATAATCATACTAAAATGTTTAATCCACTAAACATTCACACCAAGCTCATAGCTATCTTAGCTGTATAACTTATATATTCTTAACCACTAAAATGAGGACTAAATGTGCTGTATTTCCATGTTGTCACAATGATAAACGATACAATAGACATAGTATACCTGTGTAAACTTAGGTATGTGTTAAGCTTACGTACTGATGGTCTCAAACAGAACAGATTGTGTGTTCACTCTATGATGGAGAGAGCTCAACTGCCCGTGCAGTTCGTCACATGCGGTACTCGGGTGAAGCATTCACTGTGTCAGGAGTTTCATACACAAACAACTCTCCTCTGCTAATACACCACATCCTTCTTTATGTCTCTTATTTGATACTCTACATATAGCAGGCCCAATAAATATGACATGACTTCTAAAATAATATTTGTTCTAGGGTTATCCTATTCATTAATGCTTGCGGCAGCAGGGTTAACATAGTTTAAGAGAAAAATTTCTATTTACACTGTTATAAGTATTAAGTTACACCATCTATGCTCGTTTGAAGTTCTACTTATTGCTTTCAGTTAAGAAACAAAAGTTAATGTAAGGTTACACACCATTAACAATGTATTAACCTTTTTGCATGCCTGAACACCTGTCTTCTCCTGTGTTTTCAGAGAACACGAGTCTAGGACAGTTGTTATCAACCTTTTTCACTCCATTCCCCCCTTGAGGAATTTTCAACATCCTCGTGGCCTCCTTCATTTTTCTCCCAGAACAGACAAACAGACAAGTGATAAAGACTACAGAATGATAAAGAAGGACAGATAAATAGGACAAGAGTTAGAATGGCAAACACACACACATACATAACACGCCCATGCACTCACACATAAAGCACACATACAGTCATACACAAACATGCACACAGGTAAACATGCACACTCAAGCTAGCAAGCTGAAATGTACTGCCTGTAAGCAAGAACACGCCTCCTTTGACAAGCACTGCCCAACTAGGAAGAATGAGAAGAATAGGGAGTCATACCAATTTAGCACTAAAAATGGTAGGATTATATAAGGAAAGAATGAGTATGAACAACAATGGCACCAATAAATAAGGAAATAATTAATAAAGGAAGTGTACAAATATTTCACCCACATAAAACAGAGACCACATGAATTATGAAACTAAATAAGTAACACCAATTACGGAGTATATTATGCTTGAGTCAAGCTCAAACACACTATATGGTTCAGAGGCAATACACTCCACTGTTTTCGTGATGATATCCCAGGCCAGACTGAGATCATTTGGTCCTATCACCACTTGCAAAGGGATGACACACGGACACGTACTGAACAAGTCAGTTCATCAGCTCGGTCCAGCGCCTGTCACACAGACAGGGACTGGACCTGTGAAATCTTAAATAATCCGTAAAAAATAAAAAAAATTGGCACCAGAGTATGTAAATATTAAAATTGTATTGTCGTTATGATTAAACAAAATGACAAAAAAAGAATGAAAATTCTCTTCTGCCAAGTCAAAATAAGTAATACAAATTTTGTTTAATTCAGATTCCCAACATTATTTAGAAACGTACAATTTATAACAGTTCACCGTGGCTCCCCTAAATTCTTGCCGTGGCTCCCTTGGGGCCATGATCCCGAGGTTGAGAACCACTGGTCTCTGAAGTGTGAGCATGGTGAGTACAGTATATTTCTCATCATCTTCATTTCAATGCTAACACGCCCAGAACCTTCAGTCACCCAGGACAGCCAGTTGCAATTCATCTTGGTTTCTGTCAATACACTCATGTCCCAGAAAAATAAGTGTACCGGTAGACATTTCTAAGAATTACATTTTGTAGATATTTTTAAAAGGTAAACGTGGATGTGATAAAAATATACTACAGAGTACAGTACACCCACCAGGAACATTCCTTGAAGCCTAATGTTTAAACCAGTGACGTCATAGCTCAAACATCTGTGTGACTTTTGTGGGAATTTAAGGTGTGCAATAAGAGCCAAGCGTAGAATGCTTTCTATTTTTCTGCGAACTAATCCCCAATTACAGAACTGTACAGTGAACCCTCGAAGATCCGGACTAAACGGGGGACCACCTGTCTGAAAAAGCAGATTCTGGGAATGAGAGATTTCAGGGTAATGAGACGACTCTCTCAAAGCCGGAAAAAATCCCTCATCCCTGGAATTTTCCAGGTAATGGAAAAAAGTTCTTGGGAGTTCCAGAAATTGTGCATTACATCATCTCTCGAACCTGGACAAATATCCCCCATCCCTGGAATTTTCTGGATAAGAAAAATTTTCTCAGAATTTCCAGAAAATGTGCCTGATTTTCATCTCTCAAACCCAGAAAAAAATCCCCCACTCCCAGAAAATTATGGAATTTTCCAGGTATTGGGAAAAATTTCTTGGAATTTTCCAGAAAATGTGCCCCTCGGAAAATAGTTCCCAAAGCCAGAATTTTCCTGAAAATGGGTGCTAGAGGTCTGACTAAGGAAGAGTGCCAACAAGAACTAATTGATTTTAGTGGTAAACTCTTAAATGAAAGTGAAGACGAAGACAGAGATAACAAAATTGAGTTAGACCTTGTAAACGATGCGTGAGAGCACAGTGAGGAGGGAGGCGCGGGTGACGCTCCCTTACCACACGTCAGCAGCATTAATACATTTATATGGAGTGAAGATGTCAATTTTCAACCTAATATCCCTGATTTTGACTGGAGTGGTGGTTGTGAACTGGATTACTTACAAATTTCTTTGGATAGTGAAGTGATGAAACTTATTTATGATCAGACATAGAAATATTATGAATACTGTCAGTGCAATGCTGACTCTGGTTCCACTCCTTCAAAAATGTAATGCTGCGTTGAACTGCCTCTGATGTTGTTTTTTTAACTTGTCTTCCTTGTTTTACTAATGCTACCAGTGCACATAAAGAAACATGTCTTGCAGAATTATTGGATACAAGTTTTACTCATAGCAATGTGTACATACTGTAGTGTAAATAAACATAAGAAAATAAGTATTTGTGAGTATCTGGAACTCAAACTGCCTACAGCCACTAAGTAAATAATACGTAGATACTGCTCGCTGCCCCAGAGTACTCCACCGCCACCTACCACCAACCCATGTGTCCTACTCCTCACATCTGCCACAATGCCAACTAATGCTAAGTACGTGCATTTTTTACCTATTTGTACCACTTATGATGGATCTGTTATAACAAAAGTATTATTTTCATTTCTGCCAAAATATGCCAGCATGCGGTGTGAGCTGAGGCCTCCGTAGCCTGCAGCCCAGGGGTTAATGTTGCATAATGCAGTTATTGAACATTTTGTGTTGTATCTTTGGTCCTTCTAAGTTGCATCAGAGCATTGAAATGATATTTCCATAACTATTTTGTTTTTCTTATGCAACAATGGGATATGTGCAGCTTTCTCACAGCTAACATGTGCCCATGTGTTAATAATAATAATGGTTACCCCTTGTGTAACGAGGATTATGGTGATTTCTAGACTCGATATTCTCCCACTCAGAATATACCCCTACACTCATATTTTATATCTTTATAGCATTACAAATCAATACCTACTGTATACAATATTCTCTTTATTCATAAGGCACACTAGCAAACTGACATACAGTAATATATATTTTATTTAGGTACACACACACACTTAGTGTAAATCAGTGGATGATGCAGACGTCGTATACAGTATGTGAAACAATTGACGTACAATGAAAATTTCTTCCTATAATTGTTAGCAAAATATACGTAAAACTGGCGTAAACCTGTAAAACGTACAGTATACCGAGGTACTTGTATACTACTCTGCTATATCACTGTTTCTCACATTATGGCATCTCTTTTAAGAACGTAACCTAACACAAGTCCCAGGATCACCGATAAATATATTCCTATCAAAATGTTAATAACCTTATCAGTCCTTCCTCCTTTTGCACATTCCAGTTATATTGGTTACTTCGTATTTACAATTTACAAACGGTGAAAATTAACTACAATATGAAGTACTGTACCGAAGTTAACTTGGAAAAGAACATCCATTACTAACTTTCTCAGACCCGTTGATGATGAAATAACCACCAGGATCTAGAGGACATTCATTTACTTCATGAAGGTCACGATCAGTCAGCCCGCTCAATAAGCAGTATGTTGACCGCAACATGATCGGGATCTTACCTGAAATGAGAAGATTCTTTGCAAATTTCCACAAACTACAGTATTCTCTTTGAAATAAAAAACTGATCTCTTTTGCTATATTTTCAATGTTTTGCTCTTTCAAGCCATATCTTGCTGTAATGCAAGATAGTTAAAATGAAGAAAAAACCACTCACTTACTTTTACACTTTTCCTATTTGCTGTCATTCATTAATTGATGCTGCTACATGAGACATGTCCATATATGATACTCCCCTTCAAACACAAAGGCCTTAATATCTACCATATATCCCCCCTTATAACACACACTCCCCTCCCAAATGGCTTAAAGAAAAATCACCCATATCTAACATGCTGAAGGTTAACCCTGGATGCCAAGGCAAAGAGGTGCGATGCAAATATCTCTTGGGTGTGCCATGGGAATTTCTAAGACTAATGAATAGTTAAACCTATTTTGGTATACAATAAAACCTCATTTAACCGATCCTCAAATAATAAACCCTCATTTAACCGACCCTCAAATAATAAACCCTCATTTAACCGACCCTCAAATAACTAACCATTACAGTATATGACTTAATGGCTTTTCCAACCCCCCCCCCCCCTACTATATAAGTCAGTTAAAAGAGGGTTTACTGAATTCCACTAGTTTTGACAATAACAGAGAAGATCATTAAAGCAATGGGAAAGCTTTGACAAAATAATTTGCCAGAAAGTTGGCCAGTTTAATCCTTTCTTTAAGGGATCGACATCACGAAACCACACCACTCAAGCCTTGCTTCGGTTAAGTTTATTTTTTCTACTCACATCCAAAGAAACTGTAAAGGTTGTTCTTAACATTTTAAAAGTTCCCTAGAAAAAATTCACATGGATAAGTTAGTGTATTGGTTTATCATGGAAAGACTGTCGGAATTTGCACATGGCTGAGTCTATACAGGTATAGAGATTTGTGTCATTTGCAAAAAGAGAAAACAATAGCATTATAACAACACATTGTTTTATGCATTGTGAAGTTCTGGCTGCAAGAACAATAGGACATGACTTGAAAATTGTACTTGACCAAGTCATGAAAGTGGTAAACTTGATCAAAAGTCAACCCCTAAGTTACCTTTACAGTATTATCAAAGCTTTACAAAAAAATTGGGCTTGAGTACGTGAACCTTACCCTCCATGCAGACATCAGATGGCTATTAGAAAAGATATTACTGTACCTGATTCCATGCTTCCAACAATACCACACCCTTCAAAAGTATTAAAGCATGGTTACAGCATTGTAAATAGTGCAAATATATATATTTGTCATTATTTTTCGGTATCGGCACAATGTAGTGTAGTGATGGGACTGTGAAAGCATAACCGTATGTGGTAAAAACTGTACCATAAACATTTGTGCCTTTCCCAATAATACATGTATATGTCAAAGGCCAATTTCATTCCATTTCCTGTTCATGATACCTAACAGGAAACAATAACAAAAATTAAAATAAAATAAGCTAAGTAACACTAGGTTCTTTTTAAACACATTAGCAGTTAAATAAAGATACAGTACCTACTGAACAAGTAGACACTCTTCATACCGGTTAATTAAAAAATCTAGCTAGCTATAAAACTATAGAAGATACACACCAATATAGATCTTCTCTTCTTTCTGCTCTGTGGGCTTCTCCCCTTCCCGAATGACAGTCTTCACAATATCAACGTACAGAGGAGAGGAATATGTGAGGTTTCTTAATCTTGCTTCATTGGGCATCATACTGTAGTTGTAGCCATCTTTTTCCCAGTTGGTTGGCTTACTCAGATAAATCTGCTCAAATTTCAGCAAGTGCCGTGGCTGAAAGACAAGAATTCAATCTAAGCTATCAAAACTACACTTTAAAATTAAGATTAACACAAAAAATTTACCTCAAAACACTCAACTTCTCAGTTAAGTTAACTTGTTCTTTTTATTATCCCAACATGCCATTCCTGACAACCTACACTGGAGATTCTGGAAAGTTATTAGGTTCTATCACTCCAGGGAAGGCAAAATTCTTCAAACATTCTTAAGATATTTCGACAAAACCCAAAGACAGGAATAGAAAAAGATGACAAAATAAGACAAAGCAAGAAGTGTAACTATCACACCATCCTAAGTGCTACCCTCGTTAATTTCACACTTTGCCTACCATTAAAAATTGCTTGAAAGCGCACACAGTACAACCTGATGTAAAAGCATCCAATGAAGTGGTCACTGTTTTCATTATAATTCATTCAAATAGCGGTATCTGGCAGCTTAATGGGGGGCCGAGCAAGTGACTGACCAGTGGGCTGGACGCCGTTGAAGTAAGATGGTATATTAACTTACTCCTGAGCCAAATTTGTCGCTACAAACTTTTTTCCTGCATTCCATCATATTTTTTGCAGGTAAAAGGCTTCAAGATGGGTAGTAGGGTGACAATAAAAAGTGAAAGTTTTTATTTTTAGATGGCCATTTGTCCAATACTGCGTACCCATGAAAAAGGAACACAGGCGAAATCCTGGGTCATTTGGACAATATTTAGAGGTGGCTCAAGCCATTTGAAGTTAACACTACTGAAATTATTATTGATTTTTTCTAATTTCTTTATTTATGAACCGATTACTATGAAACTTTGCAGGTATATGTAGAATGCAAATTCAAACTAAAGTTGTTCTAACATTTTTTCTAAAAATGAGTAATGAGTATTTTGGCTGGTGCAGCTATTGGCTGCTTGGTGTCCCGAAAGTATTGTCAGGGACTGGACAGGCCATTGCTACAGCAGTCAGTGCAGCGCTGGAAGAGTGGAAAATATCAGAGAATGTTTCAGCACTCAGTTTTGACACAACAGCTTCAAACACTGGGCACTTGTCGGGGGCATGTGTCATTCTGGAGCAGAAACTCGGCCGCCGTCTTCTGCATCTCGCGTGTCGTCACCACATCCTTGAGCTTGTTGCCGAGAAAGCGTATGTGGAATGCATGGGGCCTTCCTCTGGACCAGATAATACTCTCTTCTCTCGCTTCAAGCATAAGTGGAAGGACATCAGTCAAGATGACTACAGCCCTCTCTCAGACCTCCCTCCAAGTTTGTACGAGAAACGAGATGACCTCATCTGTTGCTGGAAACATCATCTGGGCAAGAAGCAGCAGCCACGTGATGATTACCGTGAGGTACTGGAGCTAGCAATCAGGTGTCTCGATGGAGCTCTACCCAAGTTTAATCTCCGACGGCCCGGAGCACTTCACCGAGCACGGTGGATGGCTAAGCTCATTTATGTCATGAAGATCCTGATTTTTGCTAATCAGTTTAAACTAACTGCTCGTGAGACATTAGGCTTGAAACGATTCACATTCTTTGTGCTAGAGGTGTATGTCAGTGCATGGTTCACGGCCTCCGTTCCATCCTCCGCTCCTGCTAATGATTTGCGGCTCCTCCAAGACCTGTCAGAGTACCACGACGTCAAAATATCAAGAACATGTCTCACAGTCTTCGGTCGTCACCTGTGGTACCTCAGTGAAGGCTTGGTGGGTCTTGCACTCTTCGATCCACAAGTTAATGCAACAATGAAGACAAACATAGTTCGGGCAATCGTTGAGAGGAAGGCGACCGAGGATTCACCAAAACGTGCTGCTCTTCCTGCCACATCTTCCCTTCCCACAAAGCAGCTCTCAGACTTTGCTTCTAGAGGATCAAACTTTCTATTTGAAAGTCTCAAAATGAAGACTTCTTTTTTGTCCAAGGAACCTGACACATGGTCTGATGATGAAGACTTCAAAACTGGCGTCGCAGTTGTGGGTGGTCTCAGAGTCATCAACGACACTGCAGAGAGAGGGATTGCCTTGATACAGGCATTCAACAGCAAGATCACGAAGAGTGAAGACCAGCGTCAACATCTGCTGCAGGTTGTTGAAGAGCAGAGGCGGTCACAACCAGGGACATCAAAACAGGACCTTACAAGCAAAAAGCGAAAACAATGAATGGGTTGTCCACACCTCTCCCACCCATTGATGTAAGCGTGTTCACTGCAGTTTCATTTTAAAAAGGAATTAATCATTTATATGTACAGTGTACACATAAACTTGCTCAATATGTAAATTTTAAAATAAACCGGCATATTATGAATATTCGTATTTTTTGCCAAAAGGATAAAACTTCAATTGACTTGAGCTACCTCTAAATATTGTCCAAATGACCCAGGATTTCGCCTGTGTTCTTTTTTCATGGGTACGCAGTATTGGACCAATGGCCATTCCATTTAATCAATTTTAGAAATTCACCCCTATGCACTATTGTCACCCTAATGGGTAGCAATAGTAAATATTCCAAACCTGTGCTTGAAAGATGAAGATGCATGCAGGGGAAAAACCTGTCAGTCTAAGATGATAACACTTACTTCTAAGTGTAGAATATTCTGCATACCGTAAATATTACCTTGCTTCTAAGTTCCTTTAGTTTTACAACAATATGAAAAGTGTTTGTTACTTTAAAGTAAATATTAGTTGAATTAGGTTTTATAGAAGTTTGCAATTTAACCAAGTCTTGCTCTCTTTTTTCATCCATAACAAATGAACATTGAATGCGTATCTTTAATATATATACAGTACTGTATATATATTTATGCATCCTATTTAGATACACACAGGCTTAGTATAAAACAGTGGATGATGCAGACAACTTATATGTGAAACACATAATGAAATTTTTTTCTATAATTGTGAGCAACGTATATGTGAAATGACATGTATAGACATATAGACACAACATATGACAAGGATCCCCTTTATTTGAGGATGCACTGAATATGGTTGTATACAACACATTGTTTAACCCTTAAAGGGTAGGTATATACTACATACGTGACCTGTCCGCCCAGGATGGGGTATATTTCGCTATGTAGAAAACAGAGCAAATTGAGTAAGATTTTGTTTGCACTACGGTATTAGAAAGCCGACTCTTTTTTTTCTACATATCCATATATAATCAATAAATACTTATAATAGTACTTTTTTTGAAGAAATCACAAACTGAACTGGGAGTACTGTACATGTTTTTCAGGCTCAAGAGCGAGCCACCAGCATCATCATAATAACCAGACAACAACACTGCCACGAGCACACTCAAACAAGGGTGCAAAAAACCTAAACATTATATGAGGCGCTCAGCATTAGAAAGGGGTGAAGTGCCACCCCGAGCAAAATGTGTTTTTTGCTGGATATCACTACTGTATTTTCACCATTCCTCTACATGTTGGCATTGGATGTAACCCTCTAGCTAGAATAGAAATATGGTAGAAAGTCCTTAAAAAATAAGGTGTGATTTCGCCTCAGGCCGGGAGCTATGTATCTGGCTGTGCACTCGGTCAATGTAGGTAACTACACCCCGTTCAGAGTGAGAGGAGAACAAGCTTCCCTCGGACCATACCCCCTGAGGCAGCCAATCACAATGTATTTCCCCTTGCTACGTCATAGCTCCTCGACCAATCCGTGCACCCAGATGCTGCCTCCTTCTTAGTTTTGGTGCATATTATAGCATAAGGTGTACGTTCTACTGCTATTTTTTTATAACTTTTCGGCGTAACATTGATGTTATTCGTGTTCCACGCGTGAGAAGTGCTGTGCACTATCTGCCCGATATTAGAGCAAGACACGAGTGAGGCCAGGCCTTTTGGTGTGGGTTCAGGAGCCCAATATTCCTGAGCGTGTGTTAAGTGACGCCAGTGCTCACGTGGACACCCCAGTAATGCTTGGTGATAGTGATTTTGGTGGTGACTTTAGTGGTGCTTAAGGTGATACAAGTGCTACTGGCGATGGTGCAGATGACGTGCATGAGAATGTTGGTGATGAGCTACTTGGTGATGTTGGGGAGCCTAGTGTTGGTGGTAGTGGAGCACCACGTGATGCAGACTGGTAACACAAACAGTGACACTAATGTATCACAAGAACATACAGACTGTGAGGAGGTAGAAGTGGAGTGACTAGACATGCATTGACCATGACCATTGACCGTAAGACAAGTGTTGTTTTTGGTAATCATTAACTTGTTTTCCAGTATTAGCCCACAATAATAAGAACATTTAGCAGAAAAATGCGATTATTTTTGGTTTGAAGATCAAACAACCATACTTGATGGGTAGTTATTCTCATTCAACTCGCGATAAAATAATAACTATTCACAGTACTAACTTCTAGTTTTCATAGTTCACTAGGAGAGGGATTGAGGTGCACGAAGAAAAAATGAACCCTCTAGCTTAAAAAACAAAAAAGTCATGGTTGTTTGAACTTCGAAAAACTTTAAACGAGTTTTACTCCGCTTTTTAAATTTGGTGCATCACCCCCTTGTAATGAGGAGCGCCTCATATGATGTCCGCCACCCTTTAGCGACATGTTTTCCTCCCAAACTGCAAGTGCACTAATTATACAGTGGTCCCTCGGTTAACTATCACAATTCGTTCCAGAAGGTCGTTCGTTAACCGAAAATTTCGTTAACCGAAAATTTCGTTAACCGAAACCATCGTTTCAATGGGATTTTGGGTAATTGGTTCCAGCTCACCGAAAATTACATACAAAGTAAAAAAAAAAAATGCAGTAAAGTACACTTACTTTGAGGTGTGTATGTAGAAGGCTCCTGGTTGATGATGATGATGATGAGAATTAGAAGTGGGGGTGGAGGAGAAGGGAAAAGAGAAGGAAGTGGGGGTGGAAGAGAAATCACCCCATGCTTGATACCGTCATTTCACCCATAAAATTTTAAGTTCACTAGGTCAAATTCAAGATTATTTTCTTTAAATCAACACTGCATCAATAATTGTACTGTAAAAAGGTAAAAATACTCTGTG